ATATCATATATTATATATCATATATTATATATCATATAATATATATCATATCATATCATATCATACATTATATATCATATATTATATATCATATAATATATATCATATCATATCATATCATACATTATATATCATATATTATATATCATATAATATATATCATATCATATCATATCATATATATAAATATATATATATATATATATATATACATATATATAGTATATATATATATACATATATATATATACTATATATATGTATATATATGTATCATCTATCTACCTGTCTATCTGTGTCCTGGTCGCTGAGTTAATAAGCCCCAAAAAGTGTACACTTTCAGTTCTATAGTGGGCAATATTATCCCAAAAAGTGTAAAGTCTATCCACTCAGCTACTAAGGTGTACATATGCATATATATGATCCCGGTTCGGCCGGCCCCCCCCCTCCCCCGCCCCCAATGGTTCCTCCTCCCCCCCCTGTGGTGTGGTGTGGTTGTGGGTTGCTTCCCCCTGTGGTGTGGTGGTGTGGTGTGGTGTGGTGTGGTGTGGTGTGGTGTGGTGTGGTGTGGTGTGGTGTGGTGTGGTGTGGTGTGGTGTGGTTCGGGAGTGGGTCTCTAGGGTGGTTACCCCACTCCCCCCTGTGGTGTTTGGGTTTCCTGCGTGTGTCTGCTTGGCGTGTGAGCCCTCGTGTGGAAAAAGCTTGCACAGTCACACACAGATTCAGCTTGGGGAGCGTGGGGGCGGGGGGGGATACCATTGGGGGGGTGGGTCGGTGAACCGAGAACCGGGGTCATATATGCGAGTATGCTGCAAACCGCTTGTTCATGCCACACGTTCGGTCCACTCGTGTCTGCGTGGGTGATGCTCTTGCCGTCGGTCGAGGGTTTCATCACCTTAAATGGTCGCATTCATCGAGATTGCTGCGAAAACTGATACAAATTTGAAGGCAGCAGAGGCACCGGTAGTGGTAGGCTTTGCCAGGAGACTGGCATCAACGGCACAGGGATGCTTCAGCTTCATGCTACCATCACCCTAACAGGCCTGACCGATCATGTGGTAGCAGAAGTTGAAAGATGCCCACTCATCTTGATCAAAGGCCTTGTGCTGGACCTGTCACGCTTGAGCCGGCTTCCTCGTGCTCATGAAATGACAATCCGAGCTCTGGTTGTACTGGCTTCTTTCTGCTTTTTGCATGGAGCATTTGGCCAATCGTGGCTGGTGTGGTCCGTGCCATTCTTGCCAGATTTCTCGACCTTCGATCTTGTTGGCGCCTTGTTTGATGGCTGCTTCTGCTCATCAACCTGCATTGCCAGCCTCGGCATCTGAAACAACGGCCGCTTCTCGCGCTTTCCGTGGGCTCGACCCCAACAGTTTGTGGCAGCTTGCCTGCTGTCTTCGCATCAAGCTTTGGAGGTGACGTAAGTTGGCGACGGCTGGCTTAGATGGCTGAGGCGGTGCGAGAGTTGAGGCCTCTGATCAGGCAGTTGTTCCGCAACTTAACATTTATCGCACGCCGTGAAGCGATTTCCGGATGGACACGGTTGATACTGCCAATCCTGTACGACCGCCTTCGTCATTAGTCATCTTTCGAGAGCGCAAACCGTCACCACGATACTACCGTGCTCTGTGCATCGACTTCGCCACCACGCGGCCTTCATTCAACGGGCACCCATCGCACGTGTCTGCTGAGAAACGGAATGGCCATCATCAGCTCGAAAGCCACAGCTTCGTCCTTCTCGCAAGGAGCCCCCCCTTCCGCCCCCCACGACCAACACGCCTCTAAGCCTCCAGCATCCTCCAGCTAGCTGGCCAAATGAAAAGCATGCCCGTGCACAACACGCAAGCCAAATAATGATGCCTCCATGAGCTGTTGTAGCAGCTCGGATGGTCTCAGCGGACGGTCGAATACCTGCACACCGATTTGCTACGGAGTGCCATGCAGAAGATATCCTGAGCCATATTCAGAATGGGAATCCAGTAGTTATATTTTTAACATGACCGTATTTAGGTCTAGTTATAGTTATAACCGTGCAGTTGTATTACAGTGTTGATATAGTCATACAGTGGTTGTAATGTAGCTAGAATATAGGTATAATCTACTGATACAGTTATATCAAAAACAAGATTACAGTTAATACATAGCTTTAGTTATAGTAGTAGCAGTAGTGGTAGTAGTAGTAGTAGTAGTAGTAGTAGTAGTAGTAGTAGTAGTAGTATAGTTATATGTGCAGCCCTCGATGCCGGCCTTCGACTGGATCAACAGGGCTTCGGACAGCCGGGCCTCCAACCTTGGCAGAAAGGCGCTTTGTCTTCAAAGTATATCATCATGGTGTATCATAGTATACTACTCTAGTACATCAGAGTATACTACTCTAGTATATCATAGTGTACTACTCTAGTATATCAGAGTATGTCATCGTACATAATGGCAGAGTACTGGGAACCGGGCTCCTCATAGGCAAGGCCATCGGGACCCCAGTCGAGACGAAGCAGGCGCCGCACCTGCGTCTTTGTGACTTGGCACTCAATGCCACTCCTTCTATGCAGACCTTCTGCGACACCACCACCCGCACTCCCGACTCGTGCGGAGGCACCTGAATCGCCAGGAGCATCATAAGCCTGGGACATGTGCTACGCGTGCCCATCCCACCTCCGATTCTCGCTCCGTCCGTTGGTACATGATGGTGTACCTCAGCCGCGGTCTCCTGATGGATGCTTGTGGTCATCCAAACTCTGGCGCCACGGCTTGTGACCTTGGACGCCATGACCGGACTTGACCTGTTTTTCACCATAGCCCTCAAGCAGAGATCATGATGCATCCAGCACCACAGCCGCGGCCTGCTGCTGGTACAAGTAGGCGGAGTCGTACTCCTGATCCTGCTCTTCCAGCTTCGCCAGTAGCATGTTTAGGAATTCCTCGGCCCACGCTTTTCCATGCAAGATCATGCAAGCCAGAGGAGATCAAGAGGACACCTAAAGAGCCCAACACGCCTCATTACTTATGATTCTGTTTATTTCCTTTATTAAAGGGTATTGGGCTCTCTGGGTGCCTCCAGCTGAGGACCTTGCATTTTGGCATAAGGTACTTGTAGTGCGCGCACCACAGCAGCCTGAACAGAAGTATTTTATGTTACAACAGAGATAGTTCATACAGCACATTATTACACTAAGCAAGACTTTGAAGTACTCTTTGGTAACCAGTGCAGCTCGCACCAGCTCGGGGCAGGAGTCCGGCTTCACCGCCAGCTTTTATCCTGCTCAAGCACCACTTTTTGGATCAGGGCTTAAGGTTTAGGAGTTTAGGATCTAGGGTTTAGGAGTCCGGGCTCCCTTCTGTCCAAGACACCTACACCTATAATGCCATGACCACCATGGGAATGAGGGCCCGACGCTGCGACACCCATGTCTGGCTGTGCTACTTGGTAGCTACGCGTCGCTCACTTTACCATGGCATGCTCTCTTCCTTGGCTGCAAGCAACGAAACAACCACTTTCTACACAAACTCTGGTTAGTTGACTGTGCAAGCTATCAATGCCCAATGCTCGACGCTACATGGATGGACAAAAGTGTGTACAAGTCAGACTGCTGAGTCTTTGGTCATGCCTGCCCATCGGAGCAATTTTTTTGGTTTCCTGGCTCCAGCCGTGAAGGCTTTGCACGATGTCAGCCGCGCAGGAGCCAGACACGAGGGCACATTGGATGCAGCATGGCAATTTCTGTGTAAAGGTTTTCCGGTTGAGCACGCCGGAAAGGCTGGAAAGTGAAACCGAGCGATGCCTTCTTTTCCCACTTTCGTCCTGCGAAGCCTAGCACACGAACAGGCAGTGCCGATGTTTGGGGCTTGCCCCTGTCGCTGCAAATGTCAGGATCATCAAGATCCCCAAGATCGCGCAAGAAGTTCTTATGCTTTTGGAGCCTTTGGAACATTATGAGTGCCCTACCGTGCTACACTGCAGTACTGAATCATGCCCTCAGGTGCATCACCGAATGTATTGGCAAAGCACCTGACAAGCAAGCTTCCACAATCCAGTAGCGTCTTGCGCAGAAATTGGATCACAGCTGAGACCGCGGCGAAATCTCTGAGGCGACTGGAACCGAGGAGGTGGGAAGCAGCCGAGCTTTACCAAAGGTACCGGGAGCGGTCATGGCTACTTCAAGTTAGCCAACTGCAACTGAAGCGAGTTTACACTAGTCACTAGTCGCACAGGTCACAGCCGCAGCCGCGTTCCACTTCGATGCCTGGCTTCTCCTCAGCGCATTCACGGAGCAACAGTGATGTCAACTGGAAGTCTATGCACTGCACACCGAAGCGACAGAATGAGAATGAGCCTCGGGCGTCTCTCCGATGTACTTCAGCTTTGCGGCTTCACATCGTCCATAGAGGAGCGAACAAACACAACAAAGTAGAAAAGGACTATGGTCTGAAAGTCTGAAAAGCTTCCGAGAAAGGCGATGACGATGCTCGATGTGCTTGGTGTTCTTCTCGATCTCACCTGTCACTCAGCCGAGGAATGTGTCTTTACCCGTCTCTATCATCCCCTTCAAACACCGTGGTGGCAGAGTTCGAAGAAGCGTCTCTTCTCCTGCACTGGGAACTCTGGGCTTCTTGAAGTTGATGTCACCAAACTTTGCGCATCCCATCTCTCGGACACGTCGTGTCTGCAGAGACTCCCGCCCTAAACAAGGCACGGAGTTCATCCACTGTACCTCGGCTTGCCTGGATGACGGGCCATCAGCTTCCACGAGCTGCTTGGACTCTGCACCCTTTCTGAATCTTTCTCTCTTCATGCTGCGAATGACACACGACGATGGAGACCTTCTTCTACTCTGAGGCGCCCTTCCCGGACATCACTGCTTCTCAAGCACGGCTGGTGCAAAGAGAAGCTGCAATACTGCGCGGAGCAACTCCCTTTAGGGAGGACTGCAGGCGGCATGAAACTGATCGATTTCTGACTCGAACGGAACCACGACACCGTCGGTGGGTGCAACCATTTCGTTGTACCCTGGGTTGATTTCGCGGACCGAATCTGCAACAGCCAGGCTGTGCCAGTGTCTGCAGAAGGCTTCGTGATGAAGATGACCACATGTCCTAAGCCCTGCCATGCCTGGTTACGAACGATGAACATCCATGGACATCTACGCTCGGCTGACTCGCCGTGCCTCTCCTCCATGGCTTCGTCAAACTCTCCGATGAAGACGATAGAAGGCGGAACTCATAGATTCACGATTCTTCACTCGCCGAGGCACCACCACGGCGAGCGACTTACGGACACTCCCCGCTGCTTCTCCAGCACGACTTGTGCAAAGAAAAGCTGCAATACTGCGCGGAGCAACTCCGTTTAGGGAGTAATGCAGGCGGCATGAAACTGATCGATTTCTGACTCAAACGGAACCACGAGCCATCGGTGGGTGCAACCATTTCGCTGTACCCTGGGTTGATTTCGCGGACCGAATCTGCAACAGCCAGGCTGTGCCAGTGTCTGCAGAAGGCTTCGTGATGAAGATGACCACATGTCCTAAGCCCTGCCATGCCTGGCTACGTACGATGAACATCCATGGACATCTACGCTCGGCTGACTCGCTCTCCTCCTTGGCCTGGTCAACCTCTCCGATGAAGGCGATAGAAGGCGGAACTCATAGATTCACGGCACGATTCTTCACTCGCCGAGGCACCACCACGGCGAGCGACTTACGGACACTCCCCGCTGCTTCTCCAGCAGGACTTGTGCAAAGAGAATCTGCAATAATGCGTGGAGCAACTCCCTTTAGGGAGTACTGCAGGCGGCATGAAAATGATCGACTTCCGACTCGAACGGAACCACGACACCGTCGGTGGGTGCAACCATTTCGTTGTACCCTGGGTTGATTTCGCGGACCGAATCTGCAACAGCCAGACTGTGCCAGTGTCTGCAGAAGGCTTCGTGATGAAGATGACCACATGTCCTAAGCCCTGCCATGCCTGGTTACGAACGATGAACATCCATGGACATCTACGCTCGGCTGACTCGCCGTGCCTCTCCTCCATGGCTTCGTCAAACTCTCCGATGAAGGCGATAGAAGGCGGAACTCATAGATTCACGATTCTTCACTCGCCGAGGCACCACCACGGCGAGCGACTTACGGACACTCCCCGCTGCTTCTCCAGCACGACTTGTGCAAAGAAAAGCTGCAATACTGCGCGGAGCAACTCCGTTTAGGGAGTAATGCAGGCGGCATGAAACTGATCGATTTCTGACTCGAACGGAACCACGAGCCATCGGTGGGTGCAACCATTTCGCTGTACCCTGGGTTGATTTCGCGGACCGAATCTGCAACAGCCAGGCTGTGCCAGTGTCTGCAGAAGACTTCGTGATGAAGATGACCACATGTCCTAAGCCCTGCCATGCCTGATTACGAACGATGAACATTCATGAACTTCTGTGTCCATGAACTTCTGTGCCCGTTGTTGGCTCCTCTTCACCTCCCCTCTACTTGTCTATAGCCGAGTCGTGTCCTCGATGTAGGTGTGGTCAATCTCTGTGAGGAAGGTTATCGAACGCATCGGAAGCATCGAAGATCGAAAACTCGTAGCTTCATGATGCTTGACCCGCCACCACCACGATGAGGAACTTACAGAATGCCTACAGCATCTATCCTACAGAAACTCGTACAAAAACTCCTAAGTGCTCGCCACCAGCGAATTCTTCGCTGGCAGCACTCACACCTTCAGGTCTTTGCTTTTTGAAGATCTTTTGCTTTGCCTGTCAAGACACGTGCTGGGTGCACTTCGAAACTCCACTTAACTCAGCTTTGAGAGCCCTGCCTTCCTCGCGGCTTCGTCGTTCCGATTCTTGCACTGCATGTAGTACCGTAGTGTGGGAAATTTCTGAACGACTTGCGTGACTTCCGACGGTCGCGTTGCGCCAGTGGCTACGCGTGGGGAACCGTGCATTCCGGAAAGGAGACACGATTAGGTTATGGGGTGAGAACGTTTTGACCACGTCGAAGCACGTTGAACCACTTCGGTCGTCGCCATTGGTCGTTGAGTCTCGGTCATCTGGAGCAGGGACTGGGCATTGAAGACCCGGTATCCACCCGCTGGATGAAGCAGGTCACCAGGACAACGAAGACTACCATGCGTCACGTTGGGCGAAAGAGTGGACGCCTTCAGGTCGTGCTATGGCCCTGCTGTGATGGTCGGTGGCGACGGGTGGTGCTTGAAGGGATCCGGCTCGTGGACCGGGCCCCTCCCCCCAAAAAACTCGGAGGACACTGGAGCCCCGATCCCTGGGCTCCGATTAGAAGAACCTGGGAAGGGCCGCCAAGGGCCCGTAGCACGTGGAGGAGATCGCATCCATGGCTCCGGACGCCTCGATGCTGGCCCGCAGCCTCAGCCAAGTCCAGGCTTAGCGCCTTTAGGGCCTTTACCGCCCGAAGGGTTCAGAGGTGTTGAGCGTCCGGCTGCCCACCGAAGAAGGAGAACCACCCTGCCTGGAGCAGTTCTCTAAAACGACGACGGGGCAAAAGCTGCATGGAATTTGCCTCTGACCATACCGTCAGCTCTCCGGATCCGGACTTCGGAGGGACCTCACAAAAGACCAGATCGCACATGCCCCCTAGAAGACTGGTTGTATGTGACGATTAGGGTGACTTTAATTATGCTTTTGATGATGATTGTTGTTACTATCATTATTACTAGTATTACTAGTGTTATTGTTCTTGGTTTTGCTTCGTAGCCACCAAGCGTAGATCACGCAGTGGTTCAGGATTTGCCGGGACGCCGGCAGCAGTGGCTGCTTGCGAGGCTCCAGGAAGGTGGAACCTCGGGGCCAAGTGTCTCCATCACTTGATTTCTCCAAGCCTGCATCCTTGAAACAGCCCAATTTAGGGGCCTTAAGAAGTAGAATAGGGTTTTGGGGCCCCTCATACGATAACCATAAAAAAAGGAAGCCCCACCTTCGTAGTGGTAATGATTAATGGCAGCGGCTGCTCGAACTGACCCTTCCCCTGTATTAAAGCCGTTCCTTCAGAATTCGTCTGAATGTCTTTCCTTGGCTCCCGGGCGCGCTGGCAAGACCAGGCGCATCCCCAAAGGAGGCACCTCAACAACTATCTCATCTTCGCACTGTTTGTTGCCGGGCTGAGGATTGAAGGCTCAGCTGCCCTGAGCTGCGGGGCAAAGCTGCAGCTCGCAAATCACCAGCGAACCATCGCACTCCCCAAACACCGCCAGACCTCGCACGATGGAGATGCGCTGCAGCAACCATCGACATTCCAGTGAGCTCCATGCGACCGGCTGTGACAGGTGACGGGAGCCATAAAAGGGATGTCACCTCATAGTCAAGGTCACGAAAATGTTTCATACGTCGAAAACAACGAGATGTCGCGACAGATCGGGACAGGTATCTGCGCGCTGCCTCACAGCACGTTCCCCCGACATTGGGCGGAAGCGTGGACACAGTCCAAAGCAGGTACGGCCTCAGCTGTGACGGTGCGATATTCAATTCAAGGCGTCTCGAAAACGCTCGCCCGGCAATGAGGGACCACTGAAGTTGGCGTGAACACTGCACGTGCGGGGAAGCTCCGTCCCCGGCGCAGTTCCTTTCCGATCACCGGGCCATGCCTCAACGGCTTGGCAAACTAGACTGTGTCTACTGGGTGGCATCAGCTTCAGAGTCTTGAGAAGAGTACGGTGGTACGTGCATGTATGCGCAACTTCTCAGCGCTGGGGAAGCTGCCCAACCGCGGATCTCCCGCGGACAAGCAGTTGCCACGAAGTGGCCTCCAGGAAGAACTGCCATTCCTTGCGGCAAGCGGAGTCTGCAAGCAATGTCTGGTCACCTGTTCTTTGGGTTTGTCGTCAAAATCCCAAAGAATCCGGGGCTCTGGCCCACGAGCATCTGCTCGTGAGGCTTCCAGAAGTCCTGGCGACTGAAGCCAAAAGCTGCGCTGTTCGCTGCTGCAGGGCCCCATGACTTGTCATATCACCTCCTTCATATCATGATGATACAGATTAATTTTACGAGTACTTTTTGACTTTTTGTTACATCACTGTGGTACCACATGCCGCCTGCGATTCGAGCTTGCCGGCCGTTGCACCAGCCTCCGACAGGACACAACACACTTCGCCACAGAAAGGGCCGGACATGAGGCCCGGACATGTGGAAGCAGGGCCGACCGATCCCAGACCTGTCCCACACCGTCGAAACCGATATCATGGCATCTTCAAAGAAGTCTGGGGGCAAATCAGACAGCCCTTTCCAATCGAAGGCTGGGCTAGTCATTGCTAGCCATGCTCATGGTTGGTCGCATGAGAACGTCCGTGTCTTTCCTTTGGATGTCAAAGACCCAGCCGCAGAGTTGGGCTGCCCTTTGAGGATCCATCCGCCTCACTTCCTCAAGGGCACCGTTGATGAAGATGGTCTTCCCCTTGGCCTTCACTCCGAAGTAGTCGTGGTCGTGGCCGAAGCAATGAAACTTTGGCGGCTCATTGAGCTGCTTCAGGCGCTCCAAGAGGAGCTCACAGCCGCATTCGGAGGTGCGAATCTGATGGGGTGGCGCGTGGGTCATTAAGACATCCAAGCCTTCTGGTATCTTTGACCAGATTTGCTGCCGTTGAGCTCGAGGTCGTTCGAAAGCATTGCTGAGGTATCGCTTGCCAAGGGTTTCTTCCCTGCAGCTGACAGTCGGACTCCCCCAAATCTTGAGACCCTGATATTCCACAAGGTCATTCTCCAAGTATACGACGTTGCTCGGCAAACTTTCGAGAAAGGGCCTCTTTGCTTTTGCGGCATCTGCAGGATATCTCTGCTCATCCAGCAATGTATCGTGATTCCCAGCTATTACTACAATCAGCTTGAAGCGTGACTGGATTTTGAACAGCCAATCGACGAAATCGGCTAGGTGCTTAAAGATATCTCGGTCTCCGTAGTTGCCAACGAGGTCTCCAGTATGAAGCAAGACTTCTCCCGGCGGTAAGAACACGTTCTTGTGGTGGTGGTGGGTGTCTGAGATGTGCACAAAACGAACAGGAGGAAGTGGTGATGACAGGGAAGTGACTGTAAGAGGATAAGGTAAGCTGTTCAGCATGTCCTCGATTTCACGTAACAAGGACTTCAAGTCCTTCAGAGCTGGATGAGATGGACCTAGCTTCTTCTCCAACTCTCGATTTTGCTCAATCCGGGAAGCTACGATCGGATACTCGGCGGTTGTCCTGTAGATTGGGAAGGGACTTGCCGGGGGTTCTTCCTCAATGTCTGGAATCGGCTCCGGTGGGACATCTGGGGCACTTGTGTCCAACAGAAAAGATGCGCGGCTGGCCTCAATGGCCGCTACTAGCTTTTCGAGGTCCTCTGCTGTACAAAGCACAGAATCTGCACCAGCATCCATGCACGCTTGGCACATGACACCATGCTTACACGCAGTGTGGCTGAAAACTACCATCGTCGGTGCCGGCTGCAGCCTCTTTACCACGGAAATGAGGGTACTTCGGTCATCAGCTGCATCGAAAATGAGATCCACCCCCGGGCGCGTGCCCAAGGCGGCGATGACCGCACCCCAAGGTCCCCTGTTGCGAACGTGGTCCAAAGCCTCAGCGTTTGTTGCCACCCTGACCACCGTGAAGTTGTACTTTCGCGCAACGCTCTGAACTGTCACTGTGGTCTCTTCACCCGCCAGGCAGAGTACGCGGGGCGCAGGGGCCACAAGCAAATCGGTTAGCCCCTCTGCAGAACAAATGACGGCATCAGCCCCAGCACGACGACAGCGTGACGCTACATTTTGCTTCTCACATGCTGTCCAGCTGAAGACTGCAAAGAGTGGCGGGGGGTCCAGCTGCTTTGCTGCAAGGATCAAGCTGCTCTCTTTGCCCCTATCGAAGAGCATGTCCTCACGTCGAGTCCCGAGGGCTGCTACAACTGCCATCCAGCGGTTCCGTGGGATGTGAGCCATTGCATCGGCAACTGTGGAAACCTCAGTCAATGCAAGCCCATGGGCAGTCGCAACCCTTCGAACAGTTGACGTGGTCTCTGCCCCTGCCATGCACAAGATACCTCCAGAGCCATCACCACCCAACCCCCGCCGAGCGGAGGGATGACAACCCATGTGCGACGAACGTCTGGATAGGACCTGTGGCCCCTCGAATGCGTGCTTCAACTGTCTTCAGTGGGCAAAATCGAAGTCCAATCGTTCACAGCTACAGTAACAGGTCTATGGCCTACGGTTTATCGCATTGAACGAGGTCACTGATCTACAAGCAGAGAGGGCGCCACGCTCAGACGGACTAAAGCGCAGACTCGATCTTGCACAGCTGCTGTTCAGCACGCGCAAGGACTCTCGCTGTTCGAAGCTTTGGAAGGAGCATTTCTACGAAAGCTTTTGGCAGTCTTGGAAGCGCACCCGGATGGCTTCATCGCACTGCACGAACACCTGGAGCTCAGATCCATCTACTCTGCTGGCGCTGTTCTGAAAAAGCTCCCCCGATGTGTCGGGCTCCGGACAGATGCTCCTTCTGCGATGATGCAGGGCCTGGCCCCGAAAGTCGACCACAAGGCACCACATGTGGTGTAGGGTCGTTCTGGCAATCGCAGTGCCCGATGAAAGTTTTTGGTGAATCAATAGCTAAATCAAAAACGATGGTCATGCAGAAGCCCGTTTGCTCTACTGACATCAGATGTGCGACCAACCCTAGTGTTGCTTGATGCCTCGCTGCAAAAAGAAGAGGCATCTCCCGCACCACGCTTCCACATCCTGCGGAGAAAACTCAAACGAGGCCCACCAGCGCACAACGTCTCCAGGACTGAGGCACAAGCGCAGATCTACCACGTAAAGAGACCTTCGGCTTGCCACAAGCCCACACCAGTCGACCTAGCTTTGCCACGAAATGCCATGCAAATGCAAGAGTCAAGTGCTGCAACGATCGTCAAGTTCGATGTTGGAGGTCAGAAGAGGCCGAGCTGCAGACAATCACTGGCGACTGGGGGGGAAGCAAGACCCTCAGGGCGACGCTGACCTGGCACCCACGGGTTGAGCATCGACCGTCAGCCTCTAGGGTTTTGCCGCTTTGCCGGCCTGCTCTTCCAGCGAAGGAAGCGCAAAGACTCGCAAAGTGCCCGAAGACATGGCGGCAAAGAGACAGCCATTGCCTCGGACACATTCATGGCTGAGCTTAACACAAAAACTAGAAGACAATTGGCCCGAAAGCATCATCAGCGAAGAGTGTTGCGCTACGTCATAGAATCCAGTGTATAGGGTCATAGAGTCACCGAGTCACAAGCACGGAGTCACAGAGTCGGAGTATCACATACAGTCAAGAGTCGTACAAGTCATAGTTCATAGAGTCATCGAGAAATAGAGTCGAGTACATGTCAAGCACAAGTCATAGTTCAAAGAGTCATAGAGTCATATAGAGTCATAAAGTCACAGTGAGACAGAATCATAGAGTCATAGTGTTATAGAGTCATAGCGTCAGAGTGAGAAAGAGTCATAGAGTCATGGAGTCATCTATGTACCACGCACTTGACTTGATGTAGTTCACTCTATGAACACTAATGTTCAGGTTTAGCGGGTTTAGGGTATAGTCCAACATGACGCAGAAGTCTTCCTTTCCTAGCTCCGCAACCTCATTATATAGACATCCCTGATTACTGTGGTTTCAACGTGACTCTATGACTCTATGCATGGTCACTTTATGTCGCAGCAGCAGTAGTAGTAGTAGTAGTAGTATTAGTAGTAGTAGTAGTAGTACTAGCAGTACCAGTACTAGTAGTAGTGATAGTAGTACCAGTACTAGTAGTAGTGATAGTAGTGGTAGTCGTAGTAGTTGTAGTAGTAGTCGTCGTCGCGTAGTCGCAGTCGTAGTCGTAGTCGTAGTCGTAGTAGTAGTAGTAGTTGTTGTTGCTGTGGTACTAATAGTAGTAGTAGTAGTAGTAGTAGCAGTAGTAGCAGTAGCAGTAGTAGTGGTAGTAGTAGTGGTAGTAGTAGTGGTAGTAGCAGTAGTAGTAGTAGTAGTAGTAGTACTAGTAGTAATAGCAGTAGTAGTAGTAGTAGTGGTAGTAGTAGCAGTAGTAGTAGTAATAATAGTTGTAGTAGTGGTAGTGGTAGTAGTAGTACTAGTACTAGTTCGAACACTCGACAACGCCAATCTCTGTGAAGGGTTGCAAGTTTCACTTCAATGCACATCAAAAGTAATAACTTTACCTCGCGTTCCAACACTCGACAACGCCAATCTGTGTGAAGGGTTGCAAAATTCATTTCAATGCACATCAAAAATTGCAACTTTACCTCGCGTTCGAACACTCGACCACGCCAATCCCTGTGAAGGGTTGCAAAATTCATTTCAATGCACATCAAAAAATGCAACTTTACCTCGCGTTCGAACACTCGACCATGCCAATCCCTGTGAAGGGTTGCAAAATGCCAATCCCTGTGAAGGGTTCCAAAATGCAGTTCAATGCATCCAAACCCTGTGAAGGGTTGCGCGGCGCCCGCAAAATATGTAACTTTACCTCGCGTTTGAACGCCCGAGGAAGCGAATCCCTGTGAAGGGTTCACGGCGCCCGAAAAATGTGTAACTTTACCTCGCGTTTGAACGCCCGAGGAAGCGAATCCCTGTGAAGGGTTGCACGGTGCGCCTAAAATGTGTTACTTTACCTAGCGTTTGGGCGCTCGAGAGTTCCAATCCCTGTGAATGGTTGCGCGGTGCGCCTAAAATGTGTTACTTTACCTAGCGTTTGAACGCCCGAGGAGGCGAATCCCTGTGAAAGGTTGCGCGGTGCGCCTAAAATGTGTTACTTTACCTAGCGTTTGGGCGCTCGAGGAGGCGAATCCCTGGGGAGGGTTGCGCGGGAACCCTAAAATGTGTGACTTTACCTAGCGTTTGGGCGCTCGAGGTGGCCAATCCCTGTGAAGGGTTGCATTCCCGATGGACGACGACGGTGCCACCCCTGGCTTTAGAAGAGAGAATTAGATACCGAGATGTAGAGAGTATGTAGAGAGGTAGAGAGTAAGTCAGAGAGTAAGTCAGAGAGTAAGTCAGAGAGTAAGTCAGAGAGTAAGTCAAAGAGTAAATCACAGAGTAAGTCAAGAGTAAGTCACGAGATGTAGAGAGTATGTAGAGAGGTAATGTAGAGAGGTAGACAGTAAGTCAGAGAGTAAGTCAGGAGTAAGTAAGTCAGAGAGTAAGTCAGAGAGTATGTCACAGAGTAAGTCACAGAGTAAGTCACAGAGTAAGTCACAGAGTAAGTCAAGAGTAAGTCACAGAGTAAGTCACAGAGTAAGTCACAGAGTCATAGAGTAGTCAAGTGAGTAAGTCACAGAGTTCTCAAGTTCATAGAGTCATAGAGTCATAGAGTAGTCAAGAGTAGTCAAGTTCGTCTTAGAGTCATAGAGTCATAGAGTCATAGGGTCATAGAGTCGTAGACTCAAGTGTCAAGTCATAAGGTCATGTGCTCGAGTCTATGTTTGTCATCTATGTACTTGTCTACCCGGCTCCGCACGGAAGAACCCTTCGCGACGCTTTCGGGAACATGTTTACCAACACGGAACCCGGAACCGAACCCGTCAGCTCTTGGGGGCAACCCAACGCAAAGGGACCGCCTCCAGCCCTGCAGAGGCTTCGGTATGCCAGTATATGATGGCTGTCACTGCTTGGGATAGGTTTTGGAACGACCCAGGTGTGACTCTTGCCAGTGCAATCAAATGTGACTGGAGAGCACGCTTTGTGATTCTCAGGCAAGTGCCGACTGCAAGCCCGCTGACCTGAAAGTCTTTCAACAGCAACGAAACATGGAACGGCAAGCTCTACGCACTTGTCGACGTCGCCAAGCTCCTTGCCCGCTGTTGGCCAGATGCGCCGATCAGCAAGCCTTCCAGGGTCCAGGGTTGTCGTTGAAGTCCGTGGCTCCGTTTGCATTGAGCTATCCGAAGCTGCAGCTTCAATCTGCCAGTCTCCCTCTTTCTCTATCGCACGACGCGTCTGCTTTGACTGCTGCTGCAACTGGCGAGTTCTTGCGGGATGCATTGCCTGCATTCGGCACATGAGCCTTCTGAGGAGCTGCAACGCTCTCCACCTGCAGTGCTCTTGGATTCGAAGGCCACCCTAACTGCCCTGCATATCTCTATGTCTGGCTTCATTCCCGTATCTACATGTGCATCCACTCTATGTACATATGAAGCTATGAAAACAACTGCAGTACACTATACTACGAGGTGAAACTCTGGCGCTGCATCATGCTATGTGTTATCACTATCTCTTACAAAATTTTCTACAGCAAACAAACATATCCTGTTTCAGGATTGTTATTACCATTGTGATTACTACCTATCTGCCCAAACTTACCTGTCATGTGCTATAACTGATACAGTGTGACATAATACAATATGATGCCATGCCATATACATAGTATTATAATACGACAGAAAACAGTATAAAGGAGTATGCGTAATGTGGACAATGCTTTCTAGTATAACAATATACTACACATAAAAGTAAACACTAAGTAGCATAACATGGATCATGTTCGAGTACATCAACAACACAGGTCATTCACACGCATACATACAGACATGCATTCATATGTATGTGATTACATACGGAGATACATGCATGCATACACACCTTTGCAATTCATGCAGATACAATTACATATACATACACACATACATAGGTACATACATACGTACATCATATATATATATATATATATGCACACAAATGCGTTACATATGTGTATGGTGCGGTTGTGTATCTGTGCAGGCATAAACGGCTGCTTCTATCCCTATGTACAGCTGACTGTTGTAAATTACACTCTATGTCTTTTTGTAAACAAACTAAATACCAACTGTTAACTGTGATGTGCTGTAAACTGTACACTGTGCAAAACATATTTGACTTAACATATATGTTGTATATTGTATGCTCTCTCTATATGTATACACACACATATACAGACATGAACATATGCTACGCAATGCGTATTCATATGTGTGTGTATATCCATGTATATAAATATGTACATATACACCTGCCTCTGTGAAACTGAGTTATGTATACTCATGCCTTTATCCTAATATCTGCCGTTATTTCCATACCTGTACATACCCGCACATAAGCATCTTGCACATCAACATCATCGAATATGAAGGTTCATGCCTAGTGTACGGTGTGTCATACTACAATATAAACCTTTATACGGAAACGCTAGGCTTGATTAACTACAGATATGTGTGTGCTTGTATATATGCACACAGATATGCTTACATACTTGTGAGAAGAAACAAAGTTCTGCTCATCATAAATGTACACACGCAACTAATTCCTTATTAATGTCGAGCTGGTTTATCTTGCCGCTTTGGTTCGCTACATGTGTTGATGTGCGCATACGCTTACATGCACAAGTAGTCTTAGGAGTTCGTTTTCACATCTGGAACTGTTTAGCTGTACATACATGCACAGAATACATAACATACAACCTATACAATTAGCATACATAACAGACTCGACATCATATCTATATAACTATATATATATATACATACGTATGAAAGCACATATACATCGGAGTTTCCGAAAATAGGGGACCCTGATGTAGCACCCAAAATAGTAGGATCCCTATTATAAGGACCCCCAAATAAGGTACCCCCAATTTGCGGAAATTCCCACATAAATCATACACATGGTTTAGGGCCCCAAAAAAGCACATAAGCAAAATTAGGATAGGGATATCCCATATAAACTTTTTGGGTCCCTAATTGTTTAGCCTCGCCCGCATCGGCTCTAGCTCCCGGCCTCCCGGATGCGCGAGGCGTTGCCCGGAAGCGGCTCGAGCTCCAGGGCTTTGATCCGGCCATCCTCCAGCTACCAGGGATTTTTGTTTGAGGTCTTAGGGTTTAGGGATTCCTTTCGGGTTTAGGGATTTCTTTTGGGATCTTTTGGGTTTAGGGCTTAGGGATCCCTTTTGGGTTTAGATTTTGCCTGTTGGTTTAGTATTTTGGTGTTTAGGGTATCGGGTTTAGGGATCCCTTGGTTTGTGATTCTGGTTGAGGACTTTATTGGGATGAAGGGTTGCTACTGTTTGAGCAAGTTTTCCCTTCCTTGGGGATGTCGGCGAAGATTGTCGGAGGGTTTGAAGCCATTGAAATTACCTACAACTCTGAACCCCATACTCTGCAGAGCCCGTCGCACCTCGCAGCCGGCATACAGGACGACTTTGGGCTCCAGGAGGAACTCGGAGATCAGCAGCAATAGCTGCGGACCACGTTGAGCAAGACCTTTGGACATTCCAGGGAAGCACAGCTGCATCTACCCTTGCTCGGAACCATTGTGCCTTCGCAGTCAGGGATCACTGAAATATTAGCAGTAGTACTAGCAATTGTATTCGTATTAGTATTAGTACAAGCATCTGTATTGGTATTATTCGTATTTGTAGTAGTGTCAGTAGTAGTAGTAGTATTAGTATCCGCATTTGTACTAGTACTATTATCAAAACTAGTATTAGTATCAGTACTAGCATTTGCATAATTAGAATATTAGTACTAGTACTAGCATCTGTACTAGTATTAGTATTAGTACTACTTGTAGTACTAGCATTTGTATTGTTAGTATTAGTATTCGAGTTCGTCTTTAGATGACATGCAGCAGCGGTCTTCGAAGAAAAAAACCGAGGCTGAGGCGCCAAGGAAGGGATCCCTGCCAGGCGAAGGGATCGGATTTAGGGTTTAGGTTTTAGGATTTAGGGTTTAGGGTTTAGGATTTAGGGTTTAGGTTTTAGGACCTAGGGTTTGCCCCAATAGGCTTGATGTTTTGACGTGGCTTCTTAGGGTTCACTGGGCATTGTTGGATGAGGCTGTATCGGGTGTATCATGAAACTACAACGCACTTCTGCTTTACCGCCCGCGGCTCAGGCTTCTAAGCTACTAAGCAATGCAGTCCGGGCCTCGCCGGTCCGCCGATGCGTGCAGCTTAGGAATGCGCGGAGTTCCTGATATGAGACAACAAGCAACAGCAGAAAAGACTACGTAGCATCTTCGGCAATCTTTACAAACTGCGACCTCTCCTTCCTGTCCTGCTCTGCATTTAATACCTAGTACCATGTTACAAGTACTACTCTGATTGCTTCTACTGCGGAGATGACGAGTAGTATTGTCATTCCTCCCTTTTCCTTCACTACGACATGCTATTCGTTGTACTCTTACTCCTGCTGCTACTACTACTACTACTACTACTACTACTACTACTACTACTACTACTACGATTACCACTCTTACGGTTACCACTATTACTCCTGTGTACTACGACTACTTCTACTACTACTACTACTACTACTACTACTACTACTACTACTACTACTACTACTACTACTCATGAAAATACCACCATTACTACGATCTACTGTGCTCTGTAAACTCGAGCACCAGCCCGGCAAGCCCTCGGCTTCAATCCCAGATTAACGGCCATGGCGAATATATATATATATATATATATATATATATCAATACCGACATTAAATTCCTATATCAAGCTTTTGTATCAGTATGATTATGTAGCAACTAGCATTTACGTGGTTGTCAGCACCTATGTCTTGTTGCGTTAGACTTGAGACGGCATCATGAAGGCAATCGACTTACTGTGCTGTCTCGTCGACGTCCCAAGTTGTCCTTAGAGCCACCCCTGCAGCGCATCACCGGACGCCGAAAGCAGTCCTTCACGGACGTGTTCGTGTAGCCACCAAGGGGAATCTTGAAATTGAAGTCCATGGCAGCAAGGCTGAAACAGTGGTCTTGCAAAGTACGCCAGCAAGCTGGAAAACCAGCTGCGCGGACCCGACTCGAAAATTCGGCTGGAGTTACTTGCTCTTCATGCAGGATTCATGTCTGCAGCAGGGATCGAGCGAAAAGCTGCCAACACACGCAGATGAGCGGCAAGCCGGAGTTTGAAACTCCACGCAAGCCACCAGTCGACCAGATGCAAGAGCTGGAAGTCTTCTTGAACTTGGCCACTGAAGCTTTCAAGCCCTCAAGCGTGTTCTTTTCACAGGCGAGGGGGGTCAAGCCGCGCGCTTGTCCAAAGAACAGCTGATGCGATCAACGAGCCAGCGGCTGGCATCACGCGCCGCATGCCAATCAGCAAGAGGACGCGCAGCCAGCAGAGCTTGTGCCGCTCTGTCCAACCTAAGCGAAAGATGCTTTAGAAGCCAAGACAGCATTGTCAATAATAGTCATCTGTCAAGCTTGTGAAGTCGGGCGTCCAGTCATGCCAGCATCCAGGAACGAATCGTCAAGAGTCTGACAACAGATCCTACACCCTCACAACTCTGCTTGTCTCTATCAAGGATCTGGGTGACTGACGGCAAAGCCTCTCGCCCTCTTCTCCTCCTCTCATTGCACCAGCAGAAGACGGCTTGCTGTGACTCACAGCGCATCCAGGGTGGCTGAGTAGCTGGAAGGAGATGGCAGTGCGCAACAGCACCCAACCGGAAGCCCCCTACAAACCTCACTCCGTCAACACACGACTTTTTGATGCGATACATACACTCCTGCAAGCATGATTTCTACAGACTTGAACTCGGCAGGCACCGTTGAGCTGAGCTTATGATTAGTGCCGTGGATTGCTGGCTTCCGAGAGCAGTACATGCTTCAAAGGAAACATGCAGGCAGAAAGCTGATCCCCCTTATACAAGCCTGACGCAAAACGCAACTTTGAATAGGCGCTCCTGCAACTGCCTTGGAAGGCGTACAGCAATCCTCAGATCCACGAAAAACTCTCAACGTGCCGTACTCACATGTACCTTCATACGTGCGCACGCAGCCATCCATCCATCCATCCATCCATCCATCCATCCATCCATGCCTGCATACCTACACGGACATACATACATACATACATACATACATAAATACATACACACACACACACACACACAGAGAGGACCATGTCGTGCCGTGAGAGATCGCATCGCACGCCTTGCAGGGGAACAGTTCCAACAATGCACACATGTTGTGATGCTGCATGGCCTTGTGCTCTACACTACTGGAAGCGATTCTATTCTGTCGCAGCATTGTATCTTACATTAGGTGTACCAAACAGTTTGGTACACTACCGGCAAAAAGGCCTTCGCTCTACTTTGAAATCACCCACATACAGTTCGAACGCTGTGCTACAAGCTGCATAACCTTGTTATACTACTACACCACATATGTCTTATAGTCTGCAGCAAATGCTCGGCAGCTGCAGTTTTTGCCGAGGCACTCGTTAAACAGCTCGTTCACGTTCTGCCCAGATTTAGCAGACGTCTCCTGCAGCACTGCAGGACTCCAACATACTCAAAGGAGAAGGCTAATCGATTTCATAATCGCCACTGCTTCCCCAGAGCTCTAGAACTCAGCATCCGGCCATGAAAATGAGGCCATGCTGGTCGGCATACGTCCTGGCTGCCTCCTTGTCAACGGCGCGATTTGCCTCGCACCAGGGACTTTCGCACCACACCGGCACTGCGCAATCAGACGGATTGAATTCCAAGATTCCTGCCTCCAAATCAGACTTGTTCCCCGCTAACGCGATCAAGGTGTCCTGGCCGGAAGAAAGCTTCTTCTGAGGGGCAGCATCAGCATGACAAGGCCCTGTCCGAGTTCTGCAGCTCGGTAACCCAGGCTTTGGCTGCATCGAAGGACTCCTTACGACAAGTGGGCAGAGCGAGAGGTACAGAATGCCGTCATTCGGTCGCAATCGGCAGCTTCAGCTCCTTGGATGTGATGTCAAACACGATGACAGCAGCTGCAGCACCTCGATAGTACCTGATTGATTGCTGCTTGTCTCTGAGACTTCTGCTTACCTAAACATCCAAGGTCGCGACATTGGAACAAGAGCCTTGTAGCGCTCCTGGTGCAACGCACGCAGAAACCTCTAGACCAAACAGCAAAATGAAGCGACACATCGCTCTGTCCTGTCCGGCCGTATCCCAGATCTCAAACTTGACCACCTTGTGCAATCAGCAGCAAGAATCTTATGAATAAACACACCGTGAAGCAGAGGAAGCTTCGGCCTCTGTGTTGAGGCTGACTGTCTGGGTCATGAATGCGGCTCCAATGGTTGGCTCCTGCTGCCCGGGTGGTCTGCTTTACACGAGTGAAAAGGACGGGGCATGGGAACTGAGGATGCTCAAAATAGACATAATGGCAATAGCAACAACGACTTCAGCAGCAACTCGGATGTACCGAAATGTGCAACGAAACGCGAAGCGGCAGCAGTGGTACTGGTACAGTAGTCGGAAAAAGAGAATAGTGGTAGTCGTCGTCGCAGTAGTAGTAGTAGTAGTAGTAGTAGTAGCAGCGGCAGTAGTAGTGGTAGTAGTAGCAGCAGCAGTAGTACAAGTACTAGTACTAACAGCACTTGCAGCAGCAGCAGAAGTAGCAGTATCAATTCCCAGTGCCAGCGCCGTCCTGGTACTCATAGAACTCTCCTGTCACGCAGGAGGCCATGGACTTTGCTCGCTGGGCACCACTGCCCCTCGCCTTTCGCGAATCTGACGACAAGGCCTGGGAAACTGATACTGCTACCACTAGCACTACCACAATACCACTGCTACGCTACCGCACTACCACACGACCACTACCACTACCACTGCCGCCGCGGATGCCTCTGCTGTTGCTGTTGCCGTTGCTGCTGCTCCTCCTGCCCCTGCTCCTGCTACTGCTACTGCCACTGCCTAGGCTGAGGCCTGGGATTGGGCTTAGGCTGCATCTGCTGCTACCGCTGCTACTACGATGACGACTGCTACGAAAACTTCGACGACTACGATCGCAACAGTTTCAACGATTACTACGACTCATGACTACGACACCGACTATGACTACCACCACTACCACTCTTACCAGCAATGCTTCTACACGATGCTGCCACTACTTCGCGTAATCATTGCTCCCGATCATACATCCAAGCTGCTGCTACGTGCATCAGCAGGGGGCTTTTGTCTGCGGTTTATTCTCCTGCTCGAAAAACCAGCACATCGATAGATAAATAGATACACAGATAGATACATACATAATAGATGGGCACATGTCATACATACATACATACCTGCATACCTGAATACCTACATACATACATAAATACATACATACATGCATACCACATACCACTGCCTTGGGCGACTTCGGCTGAGCTCAGGACACGATTTGCCAACCGACGCATCACCAAGGAGGACCAGCTTGAAGTGAAAGACCTTCAGCTGGGCCAGGCAAGCTCCATATTCGATATATGCATGTACACTATTTTCAACACTAAGTATCCTATTACACTGTATGAAACTGTATTTCGACATGCTGTAGGTACTGTACTACAAATATCAAGATATAGCACGTTGCTATTCAAGTATACGAAGTTTTCGTGCATGTACTGGTAAACACAAAATAATGTACACAGTGATATGTAAATATATATATATATATATACGTGTGTGCACATATGCACATTTGCGTGTGTAGACATCGGAGGTCTTCATTCAATGTCATATCATCTGACACTGTGCCGTATATATGCATAAAATAGAATATTCTGGGTATATCATGTGCACATTTCAAGCATATATACCTACATATATATATATATATGTATATACAGCAAATCTAAACCGTGCTACAGGAACCACGTATGTCATGTGCTTGTACAAATGGCTGGACAAAAGTTGCATTGCAAGAATCCTCCAACATCTCATTGCAGGCCAGGCCTGAGATGTCCCCGAAGCCATGACAACGGCAACTCAATATAAAAATCGGGGTACAAAAGCCTGATGCGTGTGCTAAGACTTAGTCTTATCTGGTGCTGTCCTTGCTTCGATTGGGTTCTACTAGGCCTGCAAACACCTAAGAGTACGTCGGGCGGGACTGTCAGTAAGGTGGGGAGTGATTGCATCATGTAGCGATGTCGCTGCTGGTATCGAGGCGTGGAGACGACATTGATGGCAGTGGCACCAAGGGAAGTAAGCACAGTAAACAGTGGTGCTTCTCAGGCAAGCAACCAGCAGTGACTTGGTATGTGTCAACGCTCCAGGTCCGCAATCCTTCTCTCTACATTTAAACCATTGCAAAATTAGGTCTGGAGGTGGGCAGGCAGCCCTGAATTCCAGGGTGCTTTGTGAGCTGTACCAGTGCACCCGGTCAAGAGACAGCTAGTTGCACCAGGGAAGCATGACCGGCGTCGAAACAACGACCACAGATGAAGAACGAGTCCATCTCCAAGGATCAATAGACTCATGGTAGCACTCTTTAAGACTGTTGGCCCGGTATTGCTTTCCTGGATTCACCTTCAGTGGACTGACCACTGGAACAAAAGGCGGCCAGTCTCGGTTGCTTAGCATCCAGAAATGATCCGAAACGGTGCGCCAGTGGGTTGCTCCAAAAAGCTGCACCTGCCCTTTGCTTGTGGCGCCCTTGCCTTTTCACCATGCAGCGCCCAAGCTGTAGGCACCCACCAGATCAAAAGAAAACGATCACAGCACACGATTGGCAGGATTGGTAGTAAGTGACTAGATTACGTAGACATTAGCCAATACTTGAACATGCGACATCAATCATCCACTCTAAGACGGTGCTCCACATGAAGACGAAGCAGCCCGGTCACCTGCCACCGGGCCCAAGCAACCAAAACAGAGACAAAACGGCGTCAGACCATCGGTCCAAACAGCGGGGCTTTGACCACCCAAGTCAGTCAAGGGATCTGGAAACCATGCATTGCTAAGCGACCAAAGAATTGAAATCGCCTGCACGCTGACTCCTGCTGTTTGCAGCAGTCGCGGCACAGGATTATCAACTACAGCACAGCCTATCAACAATCAGTGTGTCCAGGCTAGGATGCACACTGTCCGAAGCACGCTATGTTGATATATCAACACAGGAAGAGCGTTGCTTCTGCTCAGACTCTGGCCAATACTTCAAGTGTGACGTGTTAAAGACGAGTTCTGCCCACTTTAGAGTCTACAGCCTACAGCTCCGAAGTATCATGTTTCCGGCATTCTGACAAGAGTCCGCCATCGTCCGATTGAAACTCAAGCAAAAAGAGTCTCCTCCTTCTCAAGGTTCGGTCGACCTGCCGTCAAAATCCATGCTGCAACGGTCTCCCATTCAGGTTTCTCCCATATGGGGCTGCACTACGTGTATATTTAAATGATTTTAAATGCATCTGTATGTGTAGATGTGTGTGCGTGCACATGTGTATGCTAGTCATGTGCGTGTGGGCATACAAACACACACATTCATACACATATACATATACATACACATACACATACACATACACATGCACATGCACATGCACATGCACATGCACATGCACATGCACAAGCACATACACATACACATACACATACACATACACACACACACACACACACACATACACATACACATACACATACACATACACATACACATACACATACACATACACATACACATACACATACACATACACATACACATACACATACACATACACATACACCCACACCCACACCCACACCCACACCCACACCCACACCCACACCCACACCCACACCCACACCCACACCCACACCCACACCCACACCCACACCCACACCCACACCCACACCCACACCCACACCCACCACCTGCACCTACACATAGACCAGACACGGATACATATACGCATACGTACTACATATACATATGCAAAGACATCTGCGTGTATATATATATATATATATATATATATATAGATGCGAATAAACAGACACAGAGATAGAAAGGGTCACGGAAGGGCTCTCGCGGGGGACCTTTACAAGGCTTCTCCGGCCTCCCGGCACGGGTCCGGCTCCAGTGGTGTGGCGCTTCCACCGGCACAGGTGGCAGTGGTCGCACAGGAGCCCGTCCTTGCAGCCCTTCGGCTTTGAGTTGTACTTGCAAGGTGCCCTCGGCAAACGAGCACTTTTCAAGCTCCTTTGGAGGATAAAGTTCAGTTGTTTCAAAAAGCAGAAGAGCACAGCTTGGGTTCCGGCCCACAAGAAAAAGGGTGTCCGATTGAGCCTATGGAAGGGTAGTCGCCTTCGGAGCTCGGTCTCTGCATGGCGCCAGGTGGCACGGGCGTAGAGGATGCTGGGCCCAAGCTGTGCCTTGGGTCCAAGTGCCCAATAGTCACAAAATACTATCCTAAAACCGAGAGCACTGCATTGCAAGCCGATGCAGCTTCCTGTCTTGCTCTCCTCAGGCTCGCACAGGGGCACGCCCAGGTAATTCGGGTCGGAGTCCGAGAAGATGCACTCATGGCCTCGACAGGCACGCGAGCCAAAGCCATCGCTGTGGTGCTTGTTGCCGTCAAGCAGCAAAATTTGCACGAGGCACCTAGGCGAAGGTTGCAAGGCACGATCTGCAGCAAACTCGCTCGGGCAGGGCGCCTTCACGACATCCGCCCCTCCGTCGATGAAAACGACAGGCGGGCTTGCCTCGCCGCAGGGTTGGCAAGTTAGCATCAAAGCATGGCTGCGCGGTGAATACCACGGATCTCATGCCAGGCTGCATTTGTTGGGATGTCCTCTCGTTCCAAGGGAAAAGTTGTCCTGCTCCTCCAAAGCACCTGGAGCTGCCATGGTTGCTGCCACGCGTGGCCGCAGGCCTGCAACCGTGGCTGCTCAGCACCGAGAAAAGCAAACTGAGGGAACAAAACACTGCAACCACACGTTCCATTCTAAAGCTGCCAATCAGTGCAAAAATGAGGCGCTACATACAGCTCCCGTGGCTTACCTATTTGTTGATGATGATTTGAAACTCCATTGCACGTATTGCTAGCACGCAACATGTCTAGTCCTTTCAAGCCGCTGGCCAGTTCCGACAGGCCCTGTCCGCTTGGGCCGTGTTGTACTGACACTTTCGCGCTTTTTCGTCAACACGGCTTCTGTATATGCACAACAAAGATTCGCGATGATGCAATGCAGTGCAGCCGTACCAAACCATCACTCCTGCTCGTTCGGACTAGTCGGGCCTTCGCGCATCCACTTCGGCAAGACATTGGGCATGTCATCATGCAGCACCTGCTGCATGATCGGAATGATCGAGCTGGCAAGCACCGAACCACAATCGCGCACACGCCTCTCCCACTTCAAGCGGACGCAGTGTGGCTGGCTGGTCATCCACATTGGCACGATGTTGTGCTATTCTTTCCTGGCCAGATCTGTCAATAAGCATACGAAACGGACTGCAAGGCCATGCTAATGCATCAACAGAGCGCTGTAGAGTGCGTCTATTTGACTATCCGGAGATGGGCAACATTGCTGGGATCAAATATGGCCATGGGACCTGAATTTTGAGTCAGATTTGGGGCCCTCCTCGTCAAATGGGACACAGCGACAATCATGGCGCGCGTTACAACCAAAGTCATTCCTTGGCATGTTGAGCATACAGCAACGTCAGGGTATCGGCACGAAATAAGGAGCTGGTTTAACCGGTCTGATCCTGATGACCTCTGGATGAAACCAAAGAGCTTCCCGCTTTTCTCCATGTGTCACCGATGTGCTCAAAAGTACACTGACAGACTTCCTGGCACATCCGTTGATTTGTCTAGACATATGAGAGGCTTTCAAGGATGCATCTCAGGCTTCTGTGTTGAAATGCATTTAGTTCTGATATTTCAGCATCCGTCATTGGTATGTACTCAAGCCCATAAAAGGATTGATCTCATGATTGCATTGAATGCTTTGATTTTCCATTTGATTGGCCCGTTAGCCTTTTTCCAACAGTATGTCAAGTCGATTGCAAGTCGCTATACAATCTCCCATTTCCGCCTGATTGTGGAATGTGTGTGTGTGTGTGTGAGTAAGGAGCCTAAGTATGTGGCTGATTTCTGTCTTGAAACGAGTCTTCCTGCAGCTGGTCCATCGGGAGAAAAGCTTACTGATGGTTTGCGGTAAGATTCACACACTTCGCATAGCTCAGTTTCAACCCATAATACGCACTATGCCTTTCAACTGCATGTAGAAGCTTGTCAATACACTGCGTGTAAGACTTCGTGGCGAACACAAAGACATCTATTCACGCACACGGGGCGGACACATGTAACGACGTTAACAAAACATGTCGCAGGAAACTGCATCTGCAACGAGAACGAAAGCCCAAAGCACCGCCCGGAATGCGGGACTGCAAAGAGAAAAGGCGTGCGCAACACCCTGCCTCCTGAACAAGCCTCTGAAGCTTGGCTTGCAGATCTCGCTTCAATGAGTCGGCATCAAGCACACTCTTCATGGCCTCGGCAGGTTCTGGCGAAAAGTCCGGCTCACGCAAGACTCTCGGAATGACCGAACTCAGGAGCGCACAGGCGCGCAGCACGCGACACAGAGCAGAGGAAGAAGGAACGACAAGAAAGCTGGGCCCGGCTTCAGCTCTGACCGGCTCCTCGGCGCATTACCTTAGGCACACGGAACGCAGACTTCGGAACGCGAATCTCCGACAGGTCCCGGACCCTGGTGGGAGCCATGGTATTTTGCAGCGCATGGAGCTTGAGCCAGAGCTGGGGATGTCACCGAAAAGCTGAGCATGACCACTTCTGCTTCGAAGGGCCTAAGGGATCCTAAGGGTTCGCAGCCTCGCGCTGGTGTTTTGGAACGCGGCCAAGCGGCCCTTGTTAAGGAACGAAACTGCATCGGGCTGATCGTTGGCTCGATCCCTGCTGATTGCTTATTGCTTGGGGGCATCCGTCTGCTTCCAGCAGAAACTAAAGTCTAGCCGCCAGCCGCCAGCCCGATCGAGCGACACCGTCGCCTTGATCTCTAAATCGGGGTCGGCTACAATTCAGAGCTGGGCACGATCCCAGACAATGGGTTGGAGGGTTTCTTCAGGTAGCTTCAGGTGCATCAGAAGTCCACATCCGCGTCTCTCGCCAGGTATTGAAAGCCACCTGTAGCTGCACGCCTTCGAAAGCCAGGAAAGTCTATGTTCACCGCTTGAACCCGGAAAGTTGACAATCTTCCGATGGCTAGCAAGATCCTTGCTGCCATGATTTTGACTTCTCACTGCAAACCGGTCCGACTGGTGGTTCAACTACTCCTATCAGCGTGCTCCGTAATATGGGCCTGTCTGGCTGCGCAGTTGGTAGAGCGTTGCGAGGCTCGCCAAGGAGGGCACGTAGGACAGGTACAGGCGCACCTAACACCATCCACCAGGACTGCGCTGCAGTAGCTCGGTCAGCACTTCCCTTGTTCATAGCAGCAACCGCAGTCGAGACGAAGGATGGCCTGGCCACCATCAAGGCCTGCGGCCTGGCAAGGTCTCGCTTTTTGCGGACGTCTGCCAAGGTCAAGTCTCCTCTTGGCAGCATCTCACTCAGTCCGGCACAGAGACGATTTCGGAGAGCAGCTGCCTTGCTGAGTGCAGCATCAGACAGAATTTATGACAGGCCTTAGAGGGAAGGTAATGGACACGAGATCAGCCACAGGAGGTAGTAACACGAAAATGCATGCCAACAGCATTATCGTAGAAGACTGCGAACCATCGAGGTCAGAGGGTAGAAATAAAAGTCGTCGGAAACGAACATGGGGGGCTGTAGAAAAAGATGTGCAATGTAACGGGATAGATATTGCATTCTGTAGTCGTCGCACTCTTGCTGCATGGGACCCTTGTGTGTTGCCGTGTCACATAGGCAGCTATGAACATGGAGCATCTGTTGAGGCTCTGGCGTGTGCTTCTCTTGCGCAGCTAAGCGATTGTCCTGCAACAAATCAGGGTCGATTTTTGAGATGCATTCAGGCCTGAGGGTTGTAAGTTTTGGGGTTTGCTAGTTTGGGGCTCATGCTCACGAGGGAGTCTTGGATCGACAGCGCAACCTTCATCAAAAGCATTACGAGTCCAGCGAGAAAGGGGCTAGCCATGTGCGGCAGCCGGCATCGGCCCCCAGCGCCTCAGTCTCATGCTCGGTGAAGATATATAGTGCCCCCTGTCCCGGGTCCCTTCTGCAGACTATGCTTAACCCTGAACCCTAGACTAACTGAACCCCTAGCCCTCCTCAAACCCCGAATGGAAAACCTTGCAGTGGAACAACTTTACAAGAGCTTGGCCCTTTCTGCAGGCCGGCCGCAACGAAGCCACGGCTATGCCCTGAAACAAAGCAGGGTCGAGGGCTTAAGGCTTGGATGGCTTGAGATTCATGGTCGGCTAAACACGCACATCATGGCTTTCACCGTCCAATTTTTTGTGCTTGACCTTATGTATTCGATTAGTTAATTTGTTGCACAAACTCGTGTGCTCCCTCCAGGATTGGCAAGTTTGCATGGTGGGGCTCTTCGACCGCCGCATTTCTTTGAAGTCATGCAACCGCTGTGATTCGGCTTCTAAAAACAACCCCAGCTCTTAAAGCCGGCCTTTGCTAAATAGACAGACAGCTATAGATCGTCAATGTGAAGTGAGTTGTTCACGTCGGCAGACAAGGCAAGATTTGTACAAGGATTGATTACATCATCGAAAAAGCGTGATCATTCAATGATTCCAAGTTTTCGGACAAACGAACAAGCAGCCTCTCTCAAGTTACCTGTAAACACTAGAATATCCCAAGACGTCGAAAGGTTTCAGCGTCCCCAAAGTGTTGAATGGCCTGTTCGCCAAGAATGTCCTGAACACTTGAATGGTATGTAATCAGCGGTAGAAATACGCAAGTAAAGCGGTCATGAGTTTTTGCTGTCGTACAGATTGGACGAAGTGGTGTTGATACGCGCTTCTTAACCAGCCAGATGTTGTAGTCAACATATTCGGACAGTGTGGACTGTTTGGCTCTCAAACCCCAACATCTGGTAACATTGAACAACGAAAATCTTTCTCACACTCTCGGGGGGCATGAACTGGCCAACCTTGCTTACATTGCATTCGGTATTACCCTTGAACTCACAAAATGACAGCGCCGATACCAGTATCCATGATCACAACACAACAGAATGCTCGCCAAGTACTCTAGAGTCATCTGAATATGTTGCACTGTTACACATTTCCAACACCAAAAAGTACTCATCTGGCTAGCTAGCTGTCTTGATTCACGGAAAGGAGCCGCACGATCTGATGTAATGCCACATTGCTTACAGACAGAACCCGATAGCAAGTTGCTGTTTGGAGCATTAGGAATAGAATATGCAAACGTAGATACTGGGCGGTTCTCTTAATTTGAGTTCCTTTTTTCAAGGGCATTTTTGGGGAGCTAACAAAGGAAGTCTTATTTGGAGAACTACCCATATACCCTAAACCCTAAGCATAGGTCCCTGGGCCTTGGCTCGAGGCTTCGGCGGCTTCTGACCTCGGAAGCCATGACACGATGTCATTTTATCGGCTGGGGGCTTACAGGGCCTAGGGGTGTAGGTTTAGAGTTTAGGGTGTAGTAGGGCCTTAAAGGGTTTAGGTTTAGGGTTTCTGTGTTTGCATTCCCCCAGCCCTGGGGCCGCCTGTAGGCGATGTAGCGCGCTTGCAAAGGCAAGGAGGGATCGTCGAGAAGGACAGGACCTGGCACTTCTTCCCTGCTTAAAATAGGGATCCCAGCACGCAGCGTTTACATTAGGGTCCCATATTTCTTGAAAACACAGGCAAGGCTCCGCAAGGACTAGCTGGCCTTCTTCGGCATCGGCAGGGAGCTGCCGCCGGACCATGAGCTGCGCAGTGGACATCCAAAGCTGTCTTGGCTGGGCCATTTGCCTGAACACAGCCATGCGACAGCGTGATGCTGTACCAACAGCCAGAAAGACGGCCACATGTCGAACATGCACTTGCAGATGCCGTGCCCTCATCACTCCCAAACGAGGATAAGGAAAGCGCAGCTGCAGCAGAGCTGTCTTGGTCAGGTCTTCGCTCAGCATGACCTTGGGTCTTTGACATGACCACTTCGATGCATCCAAGATTCACAGGAAGTTTGAGAGGATCTGAATGCTGGGTGTCTCGACACTTTGGAGTTGAGCCCCCTTCAACATCGGCTCGGCCATCCTGCTGGAGGCAGACCCGTTGCACTCTCGCACGGCCATGAAAAAAAGCTTTCTGGCTGCCTTGTATGGGTTGTTCCGGCCAGTTGCAGGACAGACTTGTCTGTCTCGGCAATGATCGCCTTTCAGAGGTGAGCGAGGACACAGGCTTCCACTGCTGAACTCGGAGGACCTGCACCACGAAACTCAGGACGTTCTCTTCAAAGTGTCGCTTGATGGGTGCTGCTTTGGAGGCCACACCTGAAGCTGACTGCATGGTAAGATGCGTGCTCCAAGATGCTCCACAGAGAGGCCCCCGCCGTGCCAAGATAGGAGGTCAAGAGTCAAGGCCTTTGCGACCACTCAGGTAATGGACCAAATGCTGTGAAAACAACGATGACTGCGACAGCATTGTTGCTATTATTGCTGTGGTTCCGTTATTGCTGCTATCACCGTTCTAAGTATTACGACTGTTCTTTTGCTATTGCCATTCTGACTGTTGTGGCCGATAGTCCAGCACATTGCATTTCGTGAGACGCTGCATAGCTTCCGCAAGACTTGCAAAGAAGGCATAGCCGTTGATCTAAGCCCATTAACAGTTGCACTGTGGAGTTAACTTGAGCTGGACTCTCTTGCACCCAAGACTGGCGCTGCAGTCGGATGAAAGCTTGACCTACTCGCGGGCTCATAGAACGGAAGCCCCTTTCGTCGCGGTGCAGTATTTCCATTCTTACTGCTATTGCTATGTTTACAATGGTTACGCACCCGAACTGCAACCACTATTCTACTATTCTCTCGATTACTACCACGTCTCTTCAGCGCCCTCAACGTTGCACGCGTTTCGCCCTCAGCATGAAACCACTTGGCCAAGACAATCTCGCTGCCATCCGGTACCGTGGCCTTTGTCTTTCCTTGCGTGGGATGTAGCGGCGACACAAGTCGGAATCGTGAACCATGTTATTCAAGGGTGTACCGTCCGAGAGTTCCCAAACAAGAATTATAGGACTGACGTCTGAGGTGGGCTCGCATACCCCAGCGCTTGCACGTCTTTCTCAGCTCGTGGAATGACATCCTTGGCATCCGCCAGTAGCACAACGAGGTTCATGGTGTCACGCATTTCGAAATTCACCGCTTGCCTGCTTCGCTTGCAGAATGAGGCGGCGCATGTAGGATGTCTAGCTGCCGTGAAGCAGTCGCTTTTTCGATTTTGCGCTCTACGCTCCGCCGTGAAACAGAGACATCTACTGCGCGGTTCGGACGACACCTCGCTCGACTGATCACCTTACGGTGCAAAGTTGCACGATGCTTTCCATGATGAAGTCTGTAAGCCCTACGGCGCCTGGCGCCTGGAGTATTCTCTTTCGGACAAAGCGGCTTTACGGGATCAATTTGTCGCCTTACGTCTGGATGACGCCTCAAGGTCCACCGAAACAGGTGAAAACCTCCGAGGTGGCTCATCACCTCGGCTACTTGGTGGAAGCGTGGAATCGATAAAAAGTGAGAGGATCAAGATGTAGCAGACAGCTGGGAAGAAAATCGAGTCGTGTGTCTGCTTGCATCAGGCAACGGGGCAAGCAGTGCAGTAACTGGTTCCTCCAAAGACCCCAATATACACTCTCCAGCGGATCGGTGATTGTAGCGCCATGTGTGTGTGTGTGTGGCATGAAACCAAGTCCTGTGGCTTCTCTCGGGCTTGTGCACGCCTTGACATCCAGCTTGAGATTCCGCCTCATGCAGGATGACACTCGCATGTGTTTAGGGTTCAGGGCTTTTTTGGTTTTTCGCCTTTAGAAGTCAAGAACGAAGGGTTTGTTTTGGCTCGTGTTTTCCAGGAGCTGCATCCAAGCTGCAACAGCAGGTGGGCTCTCCTTGGCTCAGCGAGGCCGCTACGCAGACCTTCGTGGCTTTGCACTCAAGCCGAGTAACCTGGAGGATTAGATGGTCGACGAGGAGCCTCGCAGAGCGGTCGTGTCGATTCTTTGTTGAGTTCCCGAGCCGCTTGCTGGTGCAGCGCAGTCCTTGTCCGTGACTGGTGGAAGGATGTCAGGCACTGCTTCCTCTCACTGAGACTTTCGGCTTAAAGGAACCAAAAACCGCAAAGGCTCCATCGGTCCTTGTTCACCGCAGGCGACGAAATCGGGGGAGCCCAGCATAAGCAAGCAATGACGACCCCAAGCAGCATGATCACACCTACGGATTTCAGGCGACGCACTGGTTTTGCTATCCCAGTATTCAAACATGCTATGCGCTCATCCACTCGCGTCATGTGCCTGAGACTTCACCAGGAGTTACTTCTTGATCTTCAACATGTTCCCGGTAGAACTGCACGAGCGCATTGCTGCTGGCCGCATCCTTTCCGACAAGACATATGAACCAGTATCGCATGATAGCAAACGGGACTGCTCGGCCAAGCCTTTGAAGGGCTACTCGGACGTCGCGAAGGAACTGCATCTGCTGACTTCCTAGGACAGGAACCATCATGAAATTCCCGTGGCAGTTACTGAGATCCTAATGTGCTCATGACGACTTAGTTCTTTTTTATCATAGATCCGCACCGCGAAGCTAGTACACTACTTTAGCGTTTAAGATGCCCTAGCGCGCTGCGCTTGACTTCGAGCAGCTGAGCTCGGACCACCTCAGCTGGTCCAACCTGAAGTAAGGAAACTCCACCAGAGAAGGACTCCGCCTCGTGCAGAGGGGCTTTGACTGCAATTCAAACGATGCGGGGACAATCTGCTGCTCCCTCCCGTCCTCGAAGGCTCTGTGAGCGCTTGGCTTGCTACACCAGCTCCACCATGCGCACTCAGCCTCCAGCTTTAAGCGGAAGTGCGGTTTCACTCGGCACATTTCCCTTCCAGTCCTGGCCTCGGCGGCCTGGGCGAAGACCAGCAGCGCAGACCAGAGCCCCAGAGCTAACATTGGCTCTCTGGGGCTCGCTCAGTGCAACCATCTGAGCAAAAAGTTCAGTATCGGATCGATGCGTCTTTGAGCCGAAAGTTCCGGGCGTAGGCAACAACAAGTGGATACCAAGGGACGTGCACAATCTCGGAGTTCACGATGCATGAGGCTGACCGAGCTCCGTGCCATCACCCACCCAGTCGGGCCCAGCCTTGTTTCGCGTTACTATTATTTCTGCTGTTACTGTTCTTATTGCTGCTAATACTGATACTGGTATTGATGCTAATGCTGCTACTAAGACAAGTACTAATACTACTACTAATACTAACACTAACACGCATAAATTACTATTACCTTTACAACCATTACAAGTTCCGTTACTGGTACTACTACCACTACTACTACTACTACTACTACTACTACTACTACTACTACTACTACTACTACTACTACTACTACTACTACTACTACTCACTACTACTACTACTACTACTACTACTACTACTACTACTACTACTACTACTACTACTGCTACTACTACTACTACCACCACTACTGTGAATGTGAATGTTACCATCACCATTACCATCATTGTTATGATTACTAGTACAACTATTGCTGCTGCTACTACTACTACAACTACTACTACTGCTACTGCTACTGCTACTGCTACTGCTACTGCTACTGCTACTGCTACTGCTACTGCTACTGCTACTACTCCTACTCCTACTCCTACTCCTACTCCTACTACCACTACTACTACTACTACTACTACTACTACTACTACTACTACTACTACTACTACCGCAATCACCATGACAACGACTACAGTATCAATCTCACTACCAATATCACCGTCACTATCACAGCAACGGCAGCACTAGTATTATGAGCATTGCCACTTTTGCTGCTATTGTTAGTAGTAGTAATAGTAGTAGCAGCAGCAGAGGTGGTGGCAGTCGTTGTAGTAGCAGCAGCAGAGGTGGTGGTGGTAGTAGTAGTAGTAGCAGCAGCAGCAGTACTATTATTATTATGAGCAGTACTATTTTCTGCTGGTGTTCGTAGTAGTAGTGGTATCAGTAGTAGAAGTAGTAGTAGAATCAGTAGCAGTAGCAGTAGCAGTAGCTGTAGCTGTAGCAGTAGCAGTAGTGGTAGTAGTAGTAGTAGTAGTAGTAGTAGTAGTAGATTAGTAGTAGTAGTAGTAGTAGTAGTAGTAGTAGTAGTAGTAGTAGTAGTAGTGGCAGTGGTCGTGGTAGTGGTAGTAGTGTTAGTAATGTTAGCGTTTGTAATGTTAGTAGTAGCAGCAGTAGTAGCAGGAGAAGTACTAGTACTAGTAGCAGCAACAAGAATACGAACAAGAATCCTGATGTTAATGCTTCGCAATCTTGTTCATGGTTCTACGAAATTACAAGCATCTGCTCCACTGACTGAGACCCAAGCTTGCCACAACCATCCACCCACTCATCCCAGTCCATTGCCTGAGGTCGAGCACTCAAAACCAATTGCCACTCGAAGTTGCAACCACAGCCTGCGCCATGTCGTAGAACTCTACATGTTCTTATGCTTGAGGGTGTGCAACCCTAGTCTTCACTGTGGCTAGCGATACACATCGGTGAGATGCAGCAAACCTGCCTACGATCATCATGTCAAACAATCATTGCAATCATTTGGATACAAACGGTCATTACTTCCATGGCACTCATCACCTTCAGTAGCTGTCAGTTGAGTTATACAGTCACACTGGCACGGGAGCATTCTTGGCATTATCGGTCCTCTGTATCCGTCCACATGCGAGCATGGTGTCGACCATACGAAGCAGAAATTTGCAACACATCCTTGATTAACGCCCGTACCACGAATCCGATCCTCAAACACGCTGCTATTCTTGACGCCATTCGCGTCAGCAGCATGGGTGCAGCTCAGAGCTAGCATGAACGGAAATACCAACAAGAAGCCGGAAGGAGCAACTCGGATGCTTGCCACTTCGCACGTTGCCAGGAGAGCGTTGCATGAAGAGATGCCCGCAGCTCGGCAGTCCTCGCAACCCGGGATCTGCTCAGCAGTCAATTGACAGCTTGGGCGTGTCAAGCCTTCCAAAAGCCCAGGGCTTGAGAGCAGTCGCCCAACTTCAGGCACTTCAAGTGCACCAGGTTGTAGAACTGCCAAGCTCTCTCGAAGCAACATGCAACATCCTCAACTCCTCGACACGGGCTGAGCTTCTTCCTTTTTTCACATGCACTTGCGACCACCCTGTTTTGCCGGTGCTCTTTGGCTCGGCTACTTTGCAGGGTGTCGGCTTAACGACTCATGCGCGGAGGACTCTGTAATCAAGAAACCTGGCATGCCACACATTTGGGATGGCAAAACACTTCTCAGGGATCAGAAGCACGAAACATCCTCACCTGGATTCAGAGGCCCCACGGCGTGCCACCTGGCGATTTCCGCCTCAGCAAGTCCCACAATCAAGTGCTGTTGAAACAACCTCATGTACATGTATACATGTACACGTATACACATATACACGTGTGAGCGTATATACCTATCTAAAAATCTACATATCTACATATATAGAAGTATACACTTACATGCATATATACAAACATGCATATATATATATATATATATATATATATGTATACACATAAAAACATATACACATATATACACATACACATATGTACATATACACATATATGCACATACACATAGATTCATATATACATATATACATAATCACATACATACATATGTGGCAACATGTGCATGTATGTTAAATATATATATATATATATATATATATATATATACATATTGGCGTGTGTGTGTATGTGTGTATACACATATCTGTTAAGCATACACATATGTGTGTATGTAGATGTGGCTAACTGTCCAAATCATGGTCCCGATGGGGAACCTATATAATTCTACTCTTCATACGGCACCCTAGAGCTTAGGAACCCAACAAAGATCCTAGTTTTGGCAACCACCCACATGTATGTACGACTCGCATGTATATCTTACAAGTACAAACCAGTCCTTTGTCAACCTGCCTCAGGAGCATCGTAGGGATTTGTAGTTAATAACATGGTTTCCTTTTTCCTGTGACTGAAATTCAATTTAAGGTTTAGGGTTCAGGGTTTAGGGTTTGTAACCCCCCAAAGAGAACCCCGAAGAGCCAGGGCAGCGACGGTTCATGTCTTGAGCCGGCTTTGCCTTTGCCGCCCCGCGTGGGCGACCGGGGGGGCGTGGCGGCCGGTCGCCCTGGCTCACAGGGCCTTAGGGTTTGGGGTCTTTGTGTTTACAGCAATAACAACAATAATACAGACAATAGTCATGATATTAGCTATTATTATGCTCAGAGTACTAGGGGTTTGGCTGTTCTAATAGTAATGGTAACAGAAGTAGTAATGATAATGGTAATAATACTGATGGTCATGGTAATAAATAATGATAACTAGGGCTTGTAGGGTTTATAAAGCTTAGGGCTTAGGGTTTGGGGGAGCCCGGAGGTTGAGTCTGAAGTCTGGCCTCTTGAAAGTTCCATGGCCGGCGTTCGTAGGACTGCCTGCAGACTGGACCTTGTCAGGACTTCTGGGACTGAGTCTTCGGCTTCTCTTCGGGCTCAGGTTGCGGCAGAGGTGAACCTTGGCAGAGTGGAACGTGCTTCGGAGAGATGAGCAGAGGCGGCCTCGAAGACATGGAAGGACTCGAAGGACATCAGGCAGCAGCGGTGAAACACCTGAAGCTGTGGACAAACACAGGCGACTGCTAAAAGAAGGAGCAGGAGCTGAGACGCCCTCGTGAGAACAGGAAAGAAGTTCCACCCGATCGCCTTGGCGCTTCGGCGGCAGGAGCCACGCGAGGACCTGCAGACCTGCAGAAGCCTTGCTGTCTCTAGGCGCCTTGCTTCCGCGGCCGACCAAGTCGCAGGCTTGGAAGCAGATGGGACAGTCGACCTCTGCGAGTTCGAGCTCGAGCTTCTCAAGCACAAGGGCCGAAAGTGCTCTGCTTTGCAAAATCAGGGCCCGTACCTCTTCTCCTCGACCTGAGTGAGTTTCGGGGTACCCAGTGTGCAACGGGCTCATATGCTTTATAAGAGCAACCCCACTTGCGCTCACCAGCCGTGCGGAACCAGGTAGGCAGCAGGCTCAGTGCTTTCTGTCTGGCAACCGCCCAGCGTTGTTTGCCTGGCCGATGTGGAAACTATCTTACTTGGTCCTGTCTCTGCAAAGAGCTCAGCCGGAGCCTTCTGCTTGGCTGTCGGAGCAGGAAGGCACATCCTGCGGTCGCCGTTCTGTCTATAAACGTAGGCCTACACGCCTTGGGGGGAGGGACCTCCTGGTGGGCCGCCTCCGTCACAGCGCTCTCAGCCAGGGCACCTGGCCCGAAACGAGGGCCTCCGACCCTTGGCCTGAGCCTGGCTTCAGCTTGGCTTCCTTGTTGCCCCGGCGCCTGCCACGGAGCTTCCAGGCCCGAAGTGCAGCTGCTCAAAGTCGCGCAATCCGTCACCTCATCTCAGAACTGCCAGCGCAAGGATCTAACCTAAGGGTCCTGCTAAGCTTGCAGCGAATCTGCGCTGAAGAGCTTGCCACGCTGCCATCCAGCTCCTCCCGGAACATCCGAAGCAAAGAGGAAGAAGGAGCTTGGCCTTCGACCAAAGTCCCGCTCTGTTGCAGGGCGCCATTTTCGTCTGTGCTGCTGGCTGCACAAACACAACCAAAGGAACGGAATTTGCTGCTCCTACTCGTACTGGTGTAGACTTGTGTCACTCGCGCTTGCTCCAGAGGCCCTACTTGGGCTGCTCTCACAACGCTCGTAGCGACATGCCCCTGGTGGCCTGAAGAAATCGATCGAGGGCATCCTCATGCGCCTGCGGCATGGTCAGGTCATCTCGTGTTGCGGCCGACCCTCCGGCCCGCGAGGTCCTCGCAAACCTTCTCCAGCTTGCCTCCCAATGCCTCCGCACGAAGCAAATCCACAGGCAATGCAAACCCGAAAGCCTGAGAATCCTGGAAAACCCGGAGAGTGTTTGTTGAACACCCACTTGGCGCGGAAGCTCTCTCTTTCCCTTCTCGGCCGCCGGCCTGCAGAGCCTTTCCGCAGAAGCGCCGGTGCCTCTGCTGCCGCAGAGAGGGGTCCAAACACACTGGGGCGAGCTTTCTGGCTACTGGTAGTACTCTATGCAGAAAGCAATGCAGCCAGCCCTGTCTTATTCGCGGAATAAGGCAAGATGGGCTGCCATCATCTTGGGAACATGCCTCTCCGTGCTTGTCTGTCGCACCTTCTAGGTACTTTGACAGGAGAAAACCCAGCGAGGGCCAGTAACATGCTACATCTTGACTGTCAGGCATATCCTGAAAATGGGGGGCGAATAATTTGCACGTGCAATTCCCGCGCACATGGCGCGAGCCTCACTGCGCAGCCACACCGGACCGTGTCGAGTCAAAGACGCACTCCCATGTGCTCTGGGATGTTGGGAAGGACTCACGACGCGTGAACTCCGTGCCCTCGATAAGGTGCACCCCCCTCCCACAACCTGGTAACCATCAGGACTTTTGGCGAAAGCATTGTCACGACCTTCGCTCATGACCATGATGACGTTCTCCTTCCCCGTGAGATCCAGACACCATCCACTGGCCACTGTCTCGTGGACTGGCTTCTCACTCCACTCGCCAGTTCCGAGCGACATGAACGTGTAGTCGATGACAACGTAGTCTTTGTGAGGACCTCCCTGCTCCCACCTCACCAACAGGTCCTCCCAGAGGATACCAGGACTTGTGGGATTGCCCAGTCCGAACGTCCAGTCGTTCTCGTTGAGCAGGAACTCTCTCATGCATCGCACTGCATCTTCTCCGCAAATTCTTTCGACGAGATATGGGCTCGGGAGAGGCTTTCGCTGTCTGTAATACGCGACTGACGTTGCAGCCCTCGCCGCATGGATCGGGAAGCACCTCTCTGCTGACCGCCAACTGGACCAGCGCAAGCCAGCGAACCAGCCAGGTTGTCACCATGCTGGTTCAACTAACTACGACGCACGTGGCCTCCGAGGTCTCTTCCTATGTGCTCGAGAAAGGCCGCATAGGCAGCATAGGCCGATAGTCGTCACAGCAGAGTTCAGCTTAGCAGCAGGCACAGCCAGGCTGCTCTGCTGCTCCGTTTGCCAAGGACGGGACAAGGTCGGGGCTTCAGCGCGAAGCTGCGGTTGCCGGAGCTGCAAGAAGATCCTTGGCATCAGAGGCGGAAGGCCATTCAGCCGGCGTAAAAAACTCCGAAGGCGCCGGCTCCCCACGGCTGCGGTAGCCACGCCATGCCCGCTGAATTCTGCTTGCACACTTCTTCCGCCAAACCTCAGCATCTTGGGCAACTATTCACGGCACCACACGACTGCCGAGACAGCTGCCATGAGCCCCGAATAGTGGATCGTCGCATCGAAATATGGACAGCGACCTGCCAACACGATCTGGTGCGTTCAGCCGAGTGCAAACCATCAAGCATAACTGATGGATGCAAACAAAAGAGCCCGAGAAGGCTAGGTTCCCAACACAGGGGGCAGTACCGCTTGCCAGAAAATCGCTCAAAGCTGCGCAAACACCTTGATCCATCAGGACACCTTACAGCAGACCTTGCCGACCCGCCGCGTCAAGGTGTGAGACTAGTGTGAGTATCTGACTCGCCATGGAAGACGTGGCTGCAACCTGAGCCAGCAAGAGGAGAGTCAGGGAAAAAGTAGCATGGCCGAGTCTCGTTTGATGTCGCGCAAATCCGAGCACCTGGCTCAGAATCACCTGCGGTCTTGTCCGGAAATCCTCCAGGCCTTAGCTGTGCTGTGTCAATTCTCCACCTAGCCCATAGGACCTCGCCCCCATGCCTTCTAAGTGGTCGGCAGATGCTGCAGGGTACTTCACTGTCTTGACGAGAGTCAGAGGCATGTTTCACTTGCTCCCACTGCCTGCGCCAGCCGAAGGCGGCTCACTTTGGCACTGTTCATATCGTATTCATAATACTTACTAATAGTTTAATAGTAGTAATAATCCTCATCATAGCATTAATAATACCGACCATAGGTCATAATAATAGCAATAATAATACGAATACGACTAATAATATGCCAGGTGTTGCGGGAATCTGAGCTTGCTGCTCGTGGGTCAGGGGCTGCGCCGGCTTCGCCACCAAGCCCAAACGTTGGGCCAAGGTCAAGGACGCCTGGCGCCCCGGAGCTTGCGGAGGCTCTGACCCGATGTGTAAACAAACCTCGTGTCGCTTCAGCTTCTCGTCGTAGTCCAGCTCTGCTTGTCCTTTGAAGATTTTGGAAAAACTCCGACCCATTCCGACCCAGTCCGCGGCTTCAGAGACCCCTTACCAAGGACCTCACGCGATCCCGAAGAGGGAGCACTCCTGCCACGGCTGCTTCTCTCTCCGTCTTCACCAGGATCCGGCCCCGGCCTGGAAGTTTGCGCTGCTTCCAGCTGTGGATTCTCCTGGCGGAGCTAGCGGCGAAACGTCATGGGCCGGCTGTGCACCAGACTCGAAGATCCCCCCGCGCTCCTGCACCTGGCGTCGCCGCGCAGAGGCACTGCGTGCTTGCGGGCGGTCCTTGCCCAGCAAATGAGCCTGGCTCGTCGGATCGTTGCCACATCTCAAAAAAATCGCGAGACAGGCTGCGGACCTGCAGGGCAACGGCTCGCCATACTTCTCCTCGGGTTCCTGTAGTCACCACGCCTGCACGTGAAAGTTTCATCCAGATACACATGGACATGTGAAGAGACACGGCCATCGAGACCAACAAACAATCAAAGCCTCGGTACGACAGACACTTATCATTGACAAACCTAAACCCTGCGGAGTACCTGTTCTGATGCTTCATGTGTAGTGATGATGCTCACCTTGAGTCTTGCTACAGCTGCTGCCATTCTGAACACATGTCTCTCTTCATATTGTAAGGTCGGAGGTTTATTACTAGGAAATAGTTGCAGAATAATATGAAGTGAGTGGAACGTGCGATTTAAATAAAACAGAGGAATGAAGGGTAGTCTGAGCACGTTTGTTTGATTTAAATTGCACGAGCCACGAATGGAATCAGAAAAAAAAAGATAATCATGTAATGTCAAGATACGACCATAAGATAGAAAGTTGTCTACAGGAAATTGACCACCTATCCGAATAAAAGAGACAGTGAAAGAAACCAAAAGCACGGATAAAAACCATTAAATCTACTGGATGTCTTAATTATAGAATAGAATGAAAATAGATGTCGTGCGTTTGTTTCACTATGAAAAACGACCACCAAACCAGCGAACAAAACAAAGTGAAATGCAAGCGAACAAGGGCGTGGGCCACTTACGCCTGCCACGAAGGATGGTGTATGCTATGTGTGTGCTGTGTTGCGGATTCTGCAATACTACTGCCAGCTCCCTCGTCCTACTGCCGCTGCGATTGTGAAAACGATGGTGTGTGCTGAGTGCCTGATTGGCGTTGCCCAAGTTTGGTTTTTGCCTGCGACGGAGCAGGATGGGATACGGCCGGCGCATACAAGAAACACGCGGCTGCTGGCTTCTTCAGGTACCGAAAATGCTTGTGGTTGTGACACTGTGACCGAATGCATTTCAGAAGTTGAGAACAACCTTGTATGCACCCCTGCATGTGACAGTACACACTGGAGTGGCATTCGCGGAGTGCAGGAAATTTAGCAAACATGCCGAATTCTTGTGCTGGTGTGAACCAGATGTGCCTTTTGTCAAACAGAACATCATTGGACCCCCTCCGACCCTCCCCCCCTCCCCCGCCCACACCACCCCCCGACCCCAAAAAGCAAAGCGGAACACCTCACCGGAGAATAGCAAAGACTAAAAAAGGCAAGATGTGCAAAACGCAAAATAGGAAAAAGAAGGTTCAGAATTGTGCAACAATGCTAAAACCTCGCGCGGGCCAGTTTTCCCGAAGTCAGCGGGTGGGCGCGGTGAGCGAGAGGGCATGCAAAGGAGCGTAAGCAATCGCAAACACCGCTTTGCCAGGAACCCAAAGGATTCCAATTCAGAGGTTACGGGCCTGGAGCACTGGCAGGCGAGGCACTGCGATGCCGCCGCATCAGATACCATCAGACGTGCATTTTGGGACGCCTCCAAGGGCAACCGCCATCCAATCTACGATCGTGACACCGATCTGAGCGCAAGAGAGGCATTGGAAATAATTGCTCAGGAAGCCTCGCCGAAGTGACATCATCGCGAGAACATGCTTGCTTTGGCATGCTTCCTTCGGCATATTTAAACACCTACAGCTGCAACAACTGATCTACTGGCACTTGCTGCTGCATCGGTCTAACTAGATAACTCAGACTAGTGACATCTGCTGACTTTGGTAACTCGTGATTCAAATTCTCACCTTGAGTTGCAGTTGGCACAAGACTTGCCATGTAATGCCCCCCATGACAAGCAGCGTGACAAAGAGGTTCGTGGAAGACGAGCCCCGAAGCAAATCCTCTCACCTGGCGTTGATCGAAGTTCTCCGCACTCGGAAACCTGAAAGGAACCAGAGCTCCATCGTCGGGAGATTTGTCGTTCCATGGCTGCGCCTGACGTTACTCTCGGCCATCAAATACTCCACCCAATTCCACTGCTCCGCCTGCACTAGGTGTTGAGAGACCAGACCACTCTCAGGGGCTTTAGACTGAGGAGCCAACCTCGGCACAAAGCCCTATGAGGTACGTGTAGGTTGTGAAGTATCCACTCACGCCTGAAGCACGACCAGAAAAGACTTCCAGACTGACACTCTTCCCAGGCTCAAAAATCAAAGCCAAGGGCACCGAGTTTGTCCAGAATGCTCTTCCAGTGCAGCGCAAAAGTCTGGGAAAACGGGAGTTCCACTGAGCTCGAAGGGAGGCCTCAAGATCTAAGCTGGCCACCCAGTTGGTGTTTGTGATGCAAGCCTTGATCCTGAAACTCTGAGACTCGGCGGACTGCAAACACACCGGCTGCGAGCATATATAGCTCTCAGGCCGCAACACTGCCGTCATGGTGACATAGTTGGGCCTCGTTTTGAGAGCAATCCACGACGTTTCTACGAAACTCTGCCAAGAGGGCGCAAGGGTCCCTGCGCTTCGCCAGCAGCCTGCAACATGTCCAAGAGCCTGAGCACATTCCCCGCCCGCAAGTCTGTAGAAGAAAGCATCATGTAAGACGGACGAGAAGAGTAGGCAACAGAAGTGACAACACGATGCCGAGCGCGCGTCTGAAGGGTGTTTTGCCACATTCCGCCATGGGTGCAAGCACTCATCATGGCAGTATAGCTCACGACGCCAGCAGACAAGCCAATCTGGCAGGCATCAGGAGGCAACACGAAAAATTGCTTGTCCAGTCAATATGCCGGGGCGTCGTCTGTCATTTCACTGGCCAGCAACAGGGCCTTGCTAACGGTGTCATCGAGCTCGACTGCTTCACGGGCCAATGGCCCATGCCACACGCACAACAAAGCTCAGGCTCAAACGTACTGCCACTGGGTCGCATCGGAACCTAAAGCGAAGCAAAAAGCCCTCTCTTTCCACATAATGAACACATCACAGTTCAAGGCATCTGGCACGCCGTCATCGCTGCACTCCAGTGATGCTCCGAAGGACCTTGTCCAAGCATCAGAAGCTATGGTGCAATGCAAGACCAAAGAGGCTCCGAGAGCGTTGCCAACGGCAGTCGCGTTTCCTAGCAAGCGCATGGCACTCTGCCAACCTTTGCAAGACGCATGGCGGATGCTGAAGCTATGAAGATGAAGCCAATTTGCCGACTTGGGCTCCTGGCTGGCTGCATCTGCACACGCCGCAATGGCGTTCGTGTACAACTGGCTGTCTGGCCTTGAGATCAAGGACATGGGAAGACAGCCCTGAGAACGTGTCTCGCAGACGACCACAGCATGAAGAATATCTACACACACACACACACACACGCAACATGTGCATCACCGTTTTAAGTCCTATACTGCATGCAAGCTCTGCACATCTTGTCCACCATGTAAGGTTGCTTCTATTTGCCTCTATCTAGTGATTGCTGCTGCTGCTGCTACTCCTGGTGTTCACGGTGTTCCTGAAACTGGTCATGCTGGTTGTGGTGCTTTTGATGCTCCTGGTGCTCCTGCTCCTGGTGCTGCTACTGCTGCTACTCACGCTACTGCCGCTACTGCGGCTATGCATTTGCTGCTGCTGCCACTACCACTACCACTACCACTACCACTACCACTACCACTACCACTACCACTACCACTACCACTAACACTACGACGACGACTACGACTACGACGACGACGACGACTACGACTACGACTACGACTACGACGACTACGACGACTACGACGACTACGACTACGACTACGACTACGACTACGACTACGACTACTACTATTTTCAATTGAACGCTGCGCGAGCGTGCTCTGCGCTTTGCGGGCGCCTTTGGTCTCGTGCACTCGTGAAACTGCTTCTAGCATGCATCGCTCAGATCTCTCTAATCAGCTCGAACTTGACAGACTACTGCTACAAAAGCTTCCTCCTCCGACACCTTGGTGTGAACAGACGCGTCCATCTGTGCACCTGTCTCAACAATTAGGCCGTACCTCGGACGAAGCCGACACCTGGAGTATCCGTCTCGTGGCGTCCCACACGGATTACTCATGTTGAAGACAGAAGGCCGTAAGGGTCATGTGCTCATGACCGCATGTACCTGAAAACAACTCCGGTGGAGTGAGGCTTTGGGCAGCTTGGACGTGGCAACTCGCTGAAGAGCGAAGTGCTGTTTTAAGCGAGGTTAGCACGCGGTTCACAGGCTTCCGAAGAGATTTGCTAAGCGTCGGAAGAGTGCCGAATTCCCTGAGTCTGTGACATAAGGGATCAAAGAGTCTGTGACATATTCCTGCCCTCACTGGTCATGACCTTTTGGCCACTGCTGAGAGTAACTGTGCCAGGACCACTGCTGCCACCAGTCCCAGTCGTCTTCTTGAGATGAGCGTGCCTGTCTGGCCCACTGGGTCGAGGAAGATGAGGAGGGGCCATCGCGCTGTCGCTTGCCTTCTGTGTCAGCCTCCTGCATCTGTGGGCGCTTGTTGGGGGCAGCAGCAGCCAGTTTGGCCATGCGCTTGTCCTCCTCGTGCCCCTTGTCGTGCTGGATCCGCATCTTCATGATGGAGTAGGCATTTTTGTCGGGTTTGACCCTAAAGACACGAGCTGGGAGTCCGGCTGATTTGGCCGTCTCATTGTAGACTGCCACGATGGTGGTGGCGATCATGTTGAACTCGACCCACGAGGGGAAGTGCTGCTGAAAGGCCTTTTCGTCCCACATCTTGTTGAAGCAGGCATGGATAAGGCCATGCACCTTTGTGGGGGCATCCAGCTCGCGATAGGCGTCTCCCGCGCCTGTGGCTATAGTGACCTTCCCATCGCTGGTGAGGACCCGCCTCACCGACATGGCGGTGTCCCATGTGAGGCCTGTTTGCGTCCTTACCGACTTGATGGCAGAGAACAGCGGGGGAACTTCGCGGAGTGCTTCCATCCTGGTAGACCAAAGGGTCTGTTGCTCATGGTTGGTGAGGCCGCCAAGAATGACCGGAGCCACCAGGATGTTGATGGAAGCCAAGGCCCGAATCCAGTCCTGGTGGGACTGGGAGCTCAGCAGCTGAGCCAGCTCCTGCCGCGTGTCACGTACTGTCTGTTGTGGAGCCGGCTGTGGGACATAGCCGACGAGTTCCGCATTGGATTCCGGAGGCTCATATGCTGACGGGGGGCGGGAAGAAGGAGGAGGGGGCGTGTGGGAACGCGGAGCGGCCCGGGTGGCAGGGGCTGGAGGAGAAACGGACTTGGGAGGGTGCGGAGGGAACGGGGAAACAGGGATCGCCGGAGGGGGAGCTGGAAATTGGAGGCTGAGGGCAAGGGGTGGGAACCGTTGACGGTGGGGCCTTAGCCGGAAGCGCTGGGGCCGCCTTCGGTGTTTCTGCTTCTTGCTTTGAAAGCTGCCTTTTCAGCTGCTGAGGAAGTGAAAGGGCACGGGGGAGAGGGCGGCAGCTCAAAGCCGGCTGCTTTGTCTGTACCTCTGGTCCTGGTACTGCTGGGGGGGAGAGGAATCTTTTGTGGGAGTTTTGGGGGAGGGGGAGGAAGAGGTGTCTGGGATGCCGGCATGGCGCTGGGTGTCGGGTTATGCTTCTGCGTGACAAAGTGGTTTTTGAGGCCGTGACTAGTACTGAATTGCACCTGCCTGTTGTGCTTCCGGCAGTGCAAACAGCATAACCACATGTCTCCTGAAACTTCCACTTGCCCCAATCCGCGAGGGATGAGCTCCAGCACATCCTGCTCTGTAAGGTCTTGGTTATAGTGGTGGGTCTCACGGACCGTGGCCATGATCTCTGCAAAGGAGTTGTGCTGGATGCTATCGGCTACATAGGTTTCAATATCCTCCTGAGTGGGAGGAGGAGGAGCCGATGTGGCGGTTGCCGTGGTCTGTGACCTAAGTGGCTGTGGTGAGCTGTGCTCTTCGGGTCTATCAGACTGGATTTCCAGGGAGATGTCGGGGAGCTGGCTCTGCAGCATGCGATCGGTTCGTTCTTTGGTGGTGGGGTCTCCCTGAAATCCCTTCAGCCACTTCCAGCACCTGGTGTAGGCGACTGTCGTGTTGTTGGTAGTCACGAAGTAGTGGCCATCATTGTCGTACTTTTTGTTCTTCACTCGCTTGTCCCAGCGCTCCAAGAACAGGTAGATGGGGCCAAATTTGGTGGAAACATTCCATCCCGCTTGAGGGGAGTGTCCAAGGTCTCGACCCAAGATCTGCCAGAGAAATTTGCAGAAGGTCATGTATTCCAAGTTCGCCTTCGCTGTCATAACCTGACGGCTGAAGGCGTGCTGTATGGCTTCCCTCATCAAAGGGTGTCTGGGCTTGCCATAGATGATGCCTTGAAAGATGTGATCTCCTTTGACTCCAATGGCCATGACCATGAACTCATTTGGGAGTTGGCCAGGTGGGGAGGGTCTGTGACCCACTTCACCTGCCTTCGTTGAGTGAGCTGTGCTCCAATCTGCTGCTAGAAGCTTGAGTACCTGTTCCCAGGGTACCACAAAGCCACATTTGATATCGACATAGAGGCCGCCGTGCTGGTAGTGGTAGACGTAGCGGAACACGTCTGCTCTATGAGCTGGCTGACTGAGGCGATCCAGCAGATTGGAGCCGTACTTGCCGGCGAGTTGCCGCAGGGTAGCCCGAAGGACACCATCATCACAGAATTTTCGGGTGAAGCCGGCAAACATTTTGGCCGCAACTTGGGCTGGCTCCGGCTTGTCGTCGTGGACGTAGGTCTGGAAGAGGAGGGCCGGGACGGGGGCGGCCTCCCATTCTGGGAGATGCGTGAAGCGCATCCCCCAGGGGCCATGTCCGTACTGCATGGCTACCTCCGAAAGATCTCGGACAGTTCGGCATTGTGACAGAGCCTGGGCAGCAAGCATTTCGACATGCATGTCCTGCTGGCGGGCATTCCAGCCAGCAACCACGAGGACAGGCAGTCCTGGGGTGTTGCGCATTTCCTCAATGGCTCTTGTGACAAGTGCCGGAATGACGATGTCCGCGACATCGGGGCGGAAGTGGAGATTCTTGGAGTTGTAGAGCCATTCTACCCCTCCTACACCAGGCATCTGTGCCAAATCCATGATTTCCTGATTGGGCAGGTTCTTGTCCGCAAATCCATATTGGACCCTGCCGTCTATCAGGTAGTCATAATTGATTTGCTTCTCCGGGCGCAGGCTTCTTGACAGCGGAATGAAGCGAACGTTGATTTGTCCGTCAAGGTGGCTCTCCAAAATGGAGGCCACCGGCTGACTCTGAACTGCCGCCTTGAATTTGTGCGGCCCGAAGAGGCCAAATTGCCAGTGGAGGAGCTCCATGATGGAGGGGACGCTGCCGGCAGAGATGTTGAGGGCGGCGCCGGGACAACTTAAGACCTGTCCCGTCAGCAGTGGGAACACTCCGTACGTGTGTCCCCGCAGCATGTGCTGCAAAGTGCTGTCACTGAGCACCAGGAAGGGTCCCAAACTGGGAGGGTTGTCCATGGTCTCAGCTTTAGCTGATGGGCCAGAGTCTGTGACACGCGGCCAGGAGGTGAGCTGTGCTCTTCGCGGAGTCGCAGTTTGTTCCGAAGTTTTAGCTTCTGCAAGGCATGACTTTAGTGCAAGCTGCGGTACTTCTGCTGTTGCTTACTGTATCGACAGTTCGAACTGACAGCTGCGGTATGCATGCACAGCATTTCAGAGTCTTATGACCAAGCACAAAGCTCAGGCAACGCAGGACAACTGGAGACAAAGAACATCAGCAGAGGGCACGCGAGCAGGGACTGCTTGTGCCATGTGGTAGCTGAGACCTCGGATCGCAGGATAGAGCAAACGATGATGCAGCAGTAGCTGGGTTCTGGCATGCTGCAAGGTCAATTTCTCTGGGCAGGTGGGCAACACATCTCATACTGTGACTAGCTGGGTGGCTGTGCCACACCTGATCGGAGGCTGTGCCACATTCCTTGCATGAGTCAGTGACCTCCCTGTGGCTCACAAGTGCTCAGAAAAGACTGTAGTAGTGGTCATAGAGAACACTGGATACCTCTTCGTCTCTGCTGATGGTTGCCGTTGGCCCAACTGGATTGAGGGGGTTCCGGAACTTCTGCACCACGACCTGCTTGCTGTGCTGAATGTGGATGGTGAGCTCTTCGGACGCGAGGTGCCACTGGGGCGTGTCAAAAGACTGGGCCATGACACGTAGGTCGAGAAACATAGCTGCCCTGGCCGTGCGGTGTGGACTTACAAAGAGCTTATGCTGAACCAGGGAGAGCACTGCTGCG